GTTTCACTGAAGTGGTAAACGTCTGAGACCTGCGTCACTTCAGGCTTTCTTCCCACATTAAGCTGACATGCCGCGATATAACTGGAATACTGTTAAAAGCGACGTTAAACTAAACTCACTCACTCACTCCTGGCTCAGAATCAACTGCATCAACAATACTTCATCAGACAGACTGACAGAGAGTTTTAAGACAGTTGTATTTCTGTGTAAAGGCCACTGGCTTACAATACACGTTAACGTTACATTTTACATTTCCTAAAAAAGGTTGAAATTCATATACAAGTATTTACAATTAACAATACAGGGTTTCTAAGCTTATTTACATATTTTAGAAATTAGCATAGATTTGTTTGGACATTTTCATTTTTGTAACTATAACTTACTAATGATGTGTATAAAATTGTGTTGATTTCCTAAATTATGTACATACGATTCCTAAAAGTACTTTTTACATCATTATATGATTTACACACAAATAATCATTGATTTCATCTTCAATAAAATATTATCCAATCAATTGACAATAAGTACATAATCTACTCAAGAGGGGTATTAGAGTATCTTCAAGGTTCTATATGTAAACCAAAGTTACTTCATCTAAATCTAGCTTGTAATGATTTAAAGAAATATTTATTGGAAAAGAAAGACAACTCTCTCTGTAGAAGTGACTTGTAGCTTTTTTTACTGTAAGAATGAGAGGAACTGTCAATGGATTCGTGCCATGTTTGCCTCAGATTATCTGAAAGACAAAGCTTAAACTATTGCATAAATAATTCACAACCTCTTTGGAAAGCCACACATTACCAAAACCATGAAGTGAGTTCATCATAATGGTTTAAACATTGGGAATTCTTTTTTATTTTTTTCATTCTTTTGTTGTATCAACATTTTACAAGAACATAAATCACAGAGGCCCTAGGTGATATGAAACAACATTGGGTAGTGCATTGTAGGGCTTGGCAGTGTTTATTGCGACAGAAGGCAGAATGGATGTATTGCGCAATTATTGCTTCAATAATGAGTCAGTCATGTACCCAGATCAAGTTATACGTCATGCTACAATAAACACTGACTTACTCCCCTAGTCCTTATAATGATATATAGTGATATATAGAGGATATATCATGTGTTGAGTGAAATATCTCCTCTCCACCCCCTCCCCCTCCCCTCGTTACGAGATGAGAACAACATGATATTTCAAGAGATATATGAAATAACCCATTTATTAGTGTTTATACTTTTTGTGTGGGTGTCTACCAGATAATTAATTTAAATCATTACAAATGTAAAACTTTGAAACGTAAATTCTCCCTACCGAACACAGAGGGTTAAAAGTCAACAGTTTCTGGATGGGCTTGACACTCACGATAAAGGGAGACAATTCTTTATGACAATAGTTCCATCAGTGTTATGTTCACTGCAGTGAAATATCAAGTGTTATGTTCACTGCAGTGAAAATATCACTTTTCTCAACTTCAGAAAACTGAATCTAAAATTCAAACTGAAATATACCACTGTATACAATAAATAGAACATCACACTGGCAAATTTCTACAAGTCCCTAACTATCCTTTAACTATAGGGCAGTTTGGCAAGAACCATAGCACGAGTGCCAATTTCTATCACAGGTATGGGTTCCTGATCATGTCTGTTGTTGTAGTGATAATAAATCATTAGTCGCCAGCACTTGCAGTTTGCAACAATTAAGATATATTGCTCAACTCTGTTCTATATGTATTCCTAACTGAATAGTTTGTGTCACTCTGACTGAGAACTTCTCCAACAGTGGTTTAAGCGTTGGCTCATAGCACCAAAGATCTGGGTTTGATTCCCAACAAGGGTACAATGTGTGAAGCCCATTTCTGGTGTCCCCCACCGGGATATTTCTGAAATATTGATCAAAGCAGCGTAGAACCATATTCACACGATCTACACAATTGGGATATGTGAGCGAGTTTTATGCTCTTTAGCACATACAGAATTAATCCAAGCTGTCATGACAACCTGTAAATAATCATTGCTGACAACAACAAAATTATTATTGAAAAGTCTACACAATTTAATAAACATTTGTCATGAAATGGTGACTGTCATCTAAGGCGCCACAACCCGCTGTCCCATGGGCATGCCAGAAACCTATGATCGTGGTTTCCAATCCCAGTTCATCCCGAGTATGTTTCTAGGTGTGTCGCCACCATACCTGTGCTTGTGCCTCAATTCACCAAAGCGGTAAACACCTGAGGCCTGCATCACTAAGGGCTTTCCTCTTACATTAGGCAGACACGACGGGATATAACTGGAATACTGTTCAAAGGGAAAACAAAATGTAAACAAACTGAATTAGAAAAGTGGCCAAAATTGATGTAAAGATTTTATCTGTATAATACAATAGCTGGTTTCCTTGATGTGACCCACTGGTGTTGGCTGTTAACAAGGCTCGCCTTAAGTTCAATAATGATCGATTGATGTCTTGTCATGCTTTGGAGTGCTGAGTGTTTGGGAAAACACAACATGTAGTTGTAAATAAGGCAACCTGTCTAGCCTCACCGTCTCCTTATCCTTGGTTGTAACCCAAATGGATTTCTGCACGTAGATTTGAGGAACTATATTTAGAATATAAATGGTTATCATCTATAGTACAAATTTTGAGATGTTCTGCAATAACAAAGGAAAAGCATACAGTTAATACACTTTCCTGTACCTATCTATGCCTGTATCTATGCCAATATGTGTATATGTTTTACCGTATTCGAGGTAATAAGCGCCAACGGCAATAATGGCTAACATATTGGCTAGTTAATAATCCAAATTAGCACCCCTTCCGATTGATCAATGTACACAAGACTTATTTATTCGCGTATAATACACACTCGTGTGTTATATGCACCCTTAATTATGGGAAATTAAATTCTGGAAAAATATATCTGTTGTACATAACATTTCAGGCTGTCAGCATAAACCACGGAATTTATCTTTCAACTCTGTTTTTCCACCAAAATAATATTCTTATAAGAGCCTTCTATTTCTAATTTTGAGAGCGTCCTGGGCGCTTATTACGTTGAATACGGTACCTGATAATGTTTATATTTTATCCACCCACATTTATAATCGACACCTTGTCTGTCCTTCCATCCGTCCCGAAAACAGTTCAAACAGATCTTAAAGTGGTGCCTTTTGCTATTTGCAGATTTGGGGCATTTTTATTTTTCTTGATTTCCTTGGAAACAATTTGGACTAAAAATTAGGCTGGGGGTGGGGGTGGGGGTGGTGCAGGGGTGGTAGGTGTCTTTTCTGGAGGACCACTTGAAAACTGTGAAAGACTTTTCATCTAAACATGGTACTTGTATTAACCAAGGACTGAAGTGGTGCCTTTTACTCTTTAGGAATATTTCAAAATTTGATTTTGCCCTGTTTCCAATTGGAAAGAAGTAAGACTTAGCTGAAACATATGTAGGTGTTGTTTCTGGAGCAGAATTAAAAAAACTACTTAACATTTTTCATCTAAACTTGGTACATGCATTAATTAAGGGCTGAAGACATGGAAGAGGTGCCTTTTGCTATTTGGAACTTTTTGTAAAATTAATATCTTCCTGTTTCAAAGTTTGACTTTGAACCTTTTCTCTTTCTTGAAACTCTGCACACACAAAGACCGGGTTGTCAACTGGTGCCTTTTGCTATTTAGGGATTTTTAGAATTTATGATTTTTCTGTTTCCATGGCAACAAGTTTGATTTTGACTCATAGTGGTGTGTACCTGACGTAGAAATACAAACTTCCGAATCCCAATTCCATGGTATTGTTTTGATAGCTCAACAACTGCTCTTGTATACAGGTGAGGTGAGGTGAAATGGGTTTTAACGTCGCATCCAAGATTATTGCACTTATATAGCGACGTGCATGCACGTGTGTGTGTGTGTGTGGCTGCTTGTACTAGTCCGGACTGATGCCGATTTATAGTGCTAGCCCACTGAGATACCATGTCGCAGTTTAACATGAATACCCCACCCAGACACAGTATACTGACTCCGAGCCGACCAGTCCTTGTTTTAGTCCCTTAATGCCGAGCGCCAGACAGGGTAAAAACAGCTCTTGTATACAGACAAGACATATAAGATAGAAATAATCTCAACAAGTTGGACTTAAAGCATAAGTCAGATGATTTGTTTTTTCACATTTGTATAGCTTGGGGGGGACTTGCCATCTTCTGATGATTCTTGTTTGGTATGGAATGTGATAGGGTACGCCTTGTACACAAGACGCAATGTCTGTTGCATCCCTTATGCATGCCAGAAACCTGTGATTGTGGTTTCGAATCCCAGTTCACCCTGAATTGTTTCCAGATGTGTCAGCGCTAAGGGTGCACAGTATTACCAGTATATCGGTAAATTGAGGTTCATTCTTTCCTCGATACGTATCACAATGTAATATTTTCATGCTCAGTATATCGGGTGATTTGAAATAACGACTTTTGTCATGTGTTTCATGTCATACACTTGCCAATTACCTCGCTGCCCCGAAGCATGCTTCCAGGGCTCCAATATTTATCAAATAAATAAATAAAATGAATAAACATATTGTTGTACCAGCATCCTTGTTTGATCTATTTGTGAACTTCCATCCAATTACATTGATGTTTCAGATTTTTCTAAATTCAAAATTTAGGATTATACAATATACAAGTATCACAATACGGCCATGTGCATCGCAAAATATTGTGATACGCTTAATACCTCCAATACCCATCCCTGGTCACTCACCATACCCGTTCTCATTGGTTTCACGAAAGTAAACATTTAGAACCTGCATCACTTCACTCGCCTGGCTTTCTTCCCACATCAAGTTGACATGTCTTTGTTATTGATCAAAACAGTGTTAAACCTCACTCACTCACTCACTCACTCACTCACTCACTCACTCACTCACTCACTCACTCACTCACTCACTCACTCACTCACTCACTCACTCGTTTTTATGTTCATGCAAATATTTCATTTGTTTTAGAATAAGCCAGAGCAATGTCCTCTCTATTCGGGCAGCTGAAAGCTTTGCTTTGGAGGAATATTCTCCTCAAGAAGCGGAACAAGAAACAGCTTATACAGGTATGTGGTGGAATGTGATTGTATATTGAGAAAATCAGTAATAACATATTCCACATGGAGATATGATGGTAGAATAGGTTTTATGATTCTTCAGAAGAAAGGACTCAAATTATGATTTGATGGCCACAATGGCTGCACGTTGGTCATGTAACAATATGCTTGCTCGCTCATTTACTCACAAAACCGAAACTAGATCTGTCTTTTGGTTTGTGTATTATATTATGTTCTATAACATATTCAAAAGTAACATGATTCACACAAGAAGGACCAAAGTATTTTCAGTTTATGAGTCAGTCAAGGCAGATTTTTGTGATATTTCATGTGGTTTGTAGTGGTAGGACGATACACCGATGCATCAGTGGGTTGCCATTTTTTCTTCTCCATACAAGTATCGATCACAGTAGCACACTGAGTAAAAAATATTGATTCTTAACTTAAATGCTTGTGAAAACATTAATATTGTCATCCGTAATGAGCCATACTTACCACTGAAAACTGTTAATCATCAGTGTGCCAGGTATTTGGCCATACTGTCTATGATGGCTTATGTACCACAGATAAGAGCACATGCACGTATCGTGATATGTATCGGATCGTGAGTAAGGTATCATGATACATATCGGATCGAACAGTTGGTGTATTGTCCCAGCTCTAGTGGTTTAGGGGGCGGTCGGGTAACTTAGTGGTTAAAGCGTTCGCGCATCACGCCGAAGACCAGGGTTGATTCCCGACATGGGTACAATGTGTGAAGCCCATTTGTGGTGTCCCCCACCGTGATATTACTGGAATATTGCTAAAAGCGGCGTTAAACCATACTCACTCATTCCAGTGGTTTGGTTAGGTTGTTAGTTGGTTGTAATATAAATAATAACATTCTTAGACAAATATAATTTGCCAAACTTGGCCAAGTCTTCCTGAAACATTCTCATCATGTACCTTATGTGCCTTATACACAGCAATATACGGTACTCACTTGACCTTGACATCTGTTTTAACCTTGACTTCCAGGAGCTGTTTTACCCAATCTACTTTGTCCTGCTCCTCTCACTTATTAAAACTCTCGCCAAGCCAAGTACGACTCCCCCGACCCCGGAGTTCCCCCAGTACAATCTTACAGACCCACGCTTCATCCTCAACACCAAAGGAAACATCCTGGTGGTGCCAGACACACCAGAAGTCAAGGATATTATTGCCAATGTCGAAGGTTACATTGGGAGCCTCAATGTGATCTACAGCGCCACAGAAGCTGAAGCTGTAGCTTTGTACAAAGCAACTTCAAACAATGTCTCAGCCGGGATTGTGTTCAATGACACAGGAGATAATCCTGTCTATTCAATACGAACAACGTACAATGATGACCTACTTAGTACTAAGTTGTTCACTGGCAAAGGTATGTAATTCATTATTTGTACACATGATGAGGTGGTGAGGTGAAATGGGTTTTAACGTCGCGTCCAAGATTATTGCACTTATATAGCGACGTGCATGCAAGTGTGTGTGTGGCTGCTTGTGCTGGTCCGGACTGATGCCGATTAATACTGCTAGCACACTGAGATACCATGCCGCAGTTTAACATGAATACGCCACTCAGACACAGTATACTGACTCCAAGCCGACCAGTCCTTGTTTTAGCCCTTAATGCCGAGCGCCAGACAGGGTAACAACAAGTACCATCTTTTGGTATGACGTGGCCCGGGATCGAACCCTGGACCTTCCGCTCTCCAGGCGGACGCTCTACCACTAGACCATGGAGGCGTTCTTGTACACATGATGATGATGATGATGATGATGATGATGATGATGATGTTTGAAAAGGGTGTGTTTGCACAATGTATATGTTCAGTTTTGTGATGGTAACGAAGAACTCATTTGATGCATGTCATCGTATCCCAATGGAATAGATCGATGTTCATGATGTCAATCACTGGAATGTCTGGCCCAGGCTTCAGTATTTACAGGTTGACATAATACAGCTTGAATATTGCTGACTGCAGCACAAAATGAATTGGAAAAAAAAGTGTATTGCAATAAATTGTAAAACGCTGTATCTTTATTGCCACCCATGCTCCTCGAATTTAAGAGGGGTACTGGACGCCTTGTGGGTTACTCCAATAGTATTTGAACCTAGGGACCCCCTAATCTTTACCTTTTAGCATAAGGGCAGTGACAAAGACGCCTTGACTTTTATGCTTAATTTCGAACTCAGTATTTTGCTTAGATGGGCAGAAAACCACACTCTACTTGTAGTATCTGACAGAAAGGATGATGTTATGAGTATTAACTTGTTCATATGACACTTTCAAACTATGTATACTTTGATATTTAGTGTCACACACAATAATTCTCAAACACTTCAGGTGAACCACCTCTGTTGCATTGTGACCTGTTTAATTCATATATGGTTCCGATTTTAATGAGCAGTAAATATTTCTGTTGGTGTTCATGGTGTAGAAACAAGTAAGGTATACTATTGTCAATTTTAAATAATGTACTAAGTGACAAAGCCTCAACAACTTGTTCTTTGATGTTGCTTAAATCTGAATATATCTGACTTTAGGTGAATGCCTCAAGGCCGACAGGGCTGCAACAGATTCTAACTGCAAGGCCAATAAATATCTCACGACTGGATTTGCTTGGCTTCAGCGTGCCATTGAAGCTGCATTTATCAAGGTAAGACAGGATTTTATCACAATAAAAATGTAAACAGTCCAGTTTGAGAAATAAGTTAGAAAAATATAAAACATGATTCAAAACACAGATGATCATGATAAAGGCTTGTGTCCAGCGACAGAATATCATTTGACCATGTGGAGCACATTTCTCAGGGATAGACACCATTGGTCATTTCTTATCCTATCACTCGTCACGCTGAAGACCCGGGTTCGATTCCCGACATGGGTACAATGAAGCCCATTTCTGGTGTCCCCTGCCGTGATATTGCTGGAATATTGCTAAAAGCGGCGTAAAACCATACTTGCTCACTTGTTGGTGATGCAAGACCACTTTGTCACTCCTGGAAGAGACTCTTCATTCCTCTCTCAACAGCAACTTTAACCGAAGTTTCCTACCATGATACCCTTTTGGCTCTGCTCAATCGTCCTACGGGCTTACATCTTTGCTAGATTGCCTCCACCTATTGCGTCCATTCCTCATGAGACCAGAGCCCTTGCTTCTACCATGGCCCTGCATAGCAAAGTCTCTCTCTCCCCTATTATTGAAGGGTCTTTATCTTAAGTCAGGAAATTTGCTCCTGTGTTTATTGTTTCGTTGATTATTTGGGTTCCCGTTTCAATGGTGTCCGACTATTTATTCCGCTCACCTATGCCTTGTGCATTTGTGTTGTCTGGTACTGGCTCAAAGACCCTCTACTGGATATTGTCGATCGTTCCTCTTCTCGTCTTGGCATGCTTCAATCTCTCGGGCGTGATTCATAGCTTTGATGAAGCGTTAAAAGAGATGCCAAGCCAATGCACTCTGTTATCCATGGGAGAGAGTGTTGTGTCCTGTCTTGTAGAATCGATTGACTGGTGACCTGTTCCGGATTGATTATTAGTCATATGTGTGCCGCTGATTCTTTACAGATACATGGTCGTTGATGTTGCGGTGTCATACATGAAAACATGTTCTGTATGTTATAATTGATTTCATGCTGTTACGTTTGACTAGCGTATCAGGATCATATTACCAGTTTTGGTGGGTTTTTTTCTGCTCACAAGGGGGTCAAGGATGACCCATTCGTCTAAGGTGCCATGATTCGCTGTGCAGAGTTGCGTCCCTTGGGCACGCCAGAAACCTATGATTGTGGGTTCGAATCCCGATTATGTTTCTAGGTTTGTCAGCACCATACCCGTGCTCGTGGGTTTCACCAAAGTGGTACACGTCTGAGACCTGCATCACTTCAGGCTTTCCTCACACATTAAGCTGACACACAGCGATATAACAGGAATACTGTTAAAAGCGGCGTTAAACCCAACTCACTCACTCACTCTGCCCACAAGTGTCATTTTCGGCACAAGGCAGTGTTTTAAATGTTTATTTATTTCACTGTTTTGAACCAACTTCTTCCTCTTTGTCTCATGGTTGTAGTCTAATATAGGCTAGGGTATCTGCATCCAACTTTCCAACTGTGGGATAAATGCATTTTGTGAATCCAATAAATTGTATATTTATATACTTATCCTGTCTCACACACTATATGCCCATCTGACAACCCCACCCTAGAAAGAGAATGATGTGGCAGGTTTATGCACATGATCAGGTCGTGTAGGTCGCTATGCATGGGATTACAGTGCGTGACCCATTTGTTCGAGTGGTGACCATGGTGATGGTGCGATGTGTTTGGGTGAATTGTATTTTAGAAGCTGGAAACTTTGTTCGAGCACATTTCCATGATTTCATTCCTTGTTTTTACATTTTATGTTTGACAGAAAAAATCTGCAACTTTCTCTCTGCCGGAAGTGTTTGTCCAGATGATGCCCAAGGAGGAATTTAGGAGTGATGTCACGTACATCCAGTATCTGGCGTCGGTCTACTTTGTTATGGCTTACTCGTCCTTCGTGAACTTCCTCACTGTCAACATAGTAGCCGAGAAGGAGAAGAAGATACGGGAAGGGATGAAAATGATGGGCCTGAGGGACTCCGTTTTGTGGTACGAATAAATCAACCTTGTATTGTTTTTTTGTTGTTTATCTGATTTTGGTTTGTAGACAAATCACCCCATTAAGCTTGGTGTTATCAGATATATAAAATATGATTGAGTCCCAGAGTTGCTGTTATCATGATTCTGAGCTTGTCGGGGCCATGTCGACCTGCATCACTTCAGGCTCTCCTCCTACCTTATGTTGACACACGTGATATAACAGCGGCCCTTTATGCTTCAGGTTATCATGGAGTTTGACATACACTTTACTCATCGCCGTGGTAACAGCTGTCATCACTATCATTGCCTATGGCTTCGGGTTCTACAGCAGAAGCAGCAATTTGTTCATCTTTTTCCTGTTGATGCTGCTATATGGGATCTCAATCATCACCATGGCGTTTGCAGTCACACCGTTCTTCCGCAAGGCGCAGGCAGCAGGCATGGTCACAAGTTTCGCAACCATAGCAATCAGTTGTCTGTATTTTGCTGTTAGCCTGACAAGGGAGACCACTCGTGATGGCTATCACTACCCTTATGCCCCAGGAGGAGTCTGGGCCATTTGTCTTTTGTCTCCAGTTGCTTTAGCCTTGGGCATAGACCAGGTAATGTAACCATCTCTCCAGTGTTGGTTTACACTTATAGGACAAGAGACCCGTGAAGATCCGGGTAGAATAGGTCTTCAGCAACCCATACTTGCTGTAACAGGTGACTATGCTTGTTGTAAGAGGTGACTAACGGGATCGGGTGGACAGGCTCGCTGACTTGGTTGGCATGTCATTGTATCCCACTTGCGTGTACTGATGCTCATGATGTCAATCACTTGATTGTCTGGTCCTAACCCGATTATTTACAGACCGCCGTCATATAGCTGGAATATTAATGAGTGCGGCGTTAAACAACAAACAAATAAATTCGACAAGATCTAAGAACACCTTCATTGAAGATTGTGTCAGTTGAAACTGAGGCAAACTTTATTTATTTATTTATTTATTTATTTATTTATTTATTTATTTATTTATTTAAGTCATTCTGCTGTGAAGTTAAACATTGCAGATGGCTTATTGAATGGAATTAATATGTAACAGTTTTTATTGTATAAGAGAGTTTATATTAGTAGCGGGAGACATAATATAAAAAATGTGTTTTGATGTTTAATTTATATCTTGGACCGGCTGCTTTCAGTAGGGGTGACGGGCCAGTGAATATTAAAATAAAAAATGTGTGACCTAAAACATGATAAAAATCAGGTTGAGATGTTGCTAACTGTTTACTAATTATGATGTTTTTTGTTACACAAACCAACTTGGATCAGATAAATAGATACTTACCAACTGATGACTCGTTTTATACTCATTTTTTGTTATATACTGAACAAACATAGTTAGGGATCATGAATATTTAGTGTTTTCTCAGGTGCGTTTTAGTGGGGCATTGTCTTTTCTTGCACCCTGCCTTTTTTCTGTCGTGCCCCCTTTTTTTTAATCTGGCGCCCTGACATTGTTGAAGTCGCAGCAATCCTGCCCCAAATCTTCCGGCGTTTTAACAAAGTCACCAATCAGAGTTACCTCCCTTTATGAAACCGCAATATAAATGTTTTTTGTAGTAATTAGCAAGTCAGTATTTATAATAAGGTATTTGGTGACACAATGCCTACCAAGCAAAGTCTCAAGAGGAAAAGGGACAAGCGGCCAACGAGTAAGCCATGAAATGTTGTCATCTTCTTTGAAAAGAAAGCAAAGAAGACTGTGATAAGCACCTGGCTCTAATAAGCGCCTCCGGCAATATTTGCTAATTTATTGGCTAGAGAACAATCCCAATTAGCACCCCTTCCGATTGATCAATGTACACAAGACTTATTTATTCGTGTATAATACATGTGTTATATGCATCCTTAATTATGGGAAATTAACCACGAAATTTACGATCTTTCAACTCTGTTGTATTTCACCAAAATAATATTCTAATAAGAGCCCCCTATTTCTAATTTTGAGAGCTTCCTGGGCGCTTATTATGTCGAAATACGGTAAGTAATTCGGAACGTGAACCAGGAAGGGTATTAGGAACCGAACATGTTTCTGTCAATGGCCTTTAGGGTTGCCCTTTTTGTTCTTTGTGATTCTCTTTTTGTGAGAGATTTGACCTGCCCTTCTAAACACCTGCAGGAAACACTAATATTTTGGGGGATATATTTTTGTAGTGAAGACTGAGAACACAATTCCATAACAATGTCCCCCTAGATACTCATGATCCCTAACTTCTTTTGTTCAGCATATGTGATTGTTGTTTCTTGGTATCTGTATGATCCTTGACCTTTCAGGGTATTTACCTGGACACTGCTAAAGGAGGAATGACATTCGCCAACATGTCCGAGGGGGAGTTTCCACTGTCTGGCCCAATCATCATGCTGGTCGTTGACATCATCTTGTATGCAGTGATAGCCGTATACTTCGACCATGTCATTCCCGGTACGTCAACGCTGACGGTACACCTACACCTACATCCACTGCTGATGTTACATCTACCTCTTAACCGTGAAGATCCTGGTTAGAATAGGTCTTCAGCCGTGCTTCCTGTGAGAGGCGACTAACGGGATCGGGAGGTCAGACTCGCTGACTTGGTTGATGCATGTCATCGCATCCCAATTGCGTAGATCGATGCTCAATCACTGGATTGTCTGGTACAGACTCGATTATTTACAGACAGCCGTCATATAGCTGGAATATTGCTGAGTGCAGCATTAAACAACAGTTTCGGCGTCCTCGCTTGACAGGCACTAGCTTCCCAAATATCGTCTGGCATTCCCTTAGAATATTCTGTAACATCATGAACATAACTTGCCTTTCTTTATGAATGAAAATATCCTGTCCTGCCATTTGACGGATGAGTGTTCGGCCATCATGGCCATTCAGCCATGTTTCGTCAGTGTCATGGAAATATGCATCTTGAAATACAATTCGCTACTATTGGCAATATGGACCAATCACCAAGCTCATATATAATTATTACTTATACAGTGTGCAGAGTAGAAAACAGTGACATAGCTCCATACAGAGCCATATAGGGAGCACTCTAACCATGTTTAACATACTACAGTTTGTATGTGTGAGTGCATGATTCGGAGGTTACCATCTAAACAAACCTACATTGTTTTTCTAGTGAAAGACATGCATACATGGATCATACGCAGATGTTTCATGAAAAAATGGCAGTACTATTTTATTTAAATAATTTATTAATAAATTTGATCATTTTCAAGGACTGCAAACTTATTATAGGGAGGAGTTGGGGTCATGAAACATTGTTGCTTGTTTTTTACGGCAGTGGAAAAATGCAATCTCATTAATATCAGATCTTAGTTCCCTCTATCGCTGAACAAAGATCTGAGGACATCCCATTAGGGTTCACGTCAGAACGACCTTTCATCCGACCAATCAGTGCGTCGCTTACCTTACCATGAAAATGACAGTCAGAATGTGATTTTTAATCATGCAACCTTGAAAACTTTAACACAGGGTATTCCGAACAATAGTTACAGGCTTAATGACTGAATCCATACAATCTATAACATCTATTAGCCATTCCAAAATGTTCTTTTGTTCAGGTTTGAAATCTTTAATCGAGAATTTGTCAAAATATGTTTTGAGGCGTAGTCACCAATTTGAAATTAGTGCTGTAAAGCATGAGAAAGCTGCCTTCTTATTGGCTAATGTTGACTTCTTGTCAGTCATTCCATTGGTCGGTTTAAGGTCAGTCTGACTTGACCCGTAATGGTGTGCCTTTGTTTAGCGGTAGCAAGAACAAAGATCTGATTTTACTGTGATTGGAAAAAAATGTCTCATGAAATAAAGGTGTGGGTGTGGTCCGCAAAGTACGTTACAGTCCCAAGACAAATCCCCACGCACCCCACCTCCCCCTTATTCTGTATGTACCATTTGTGGGTTCCAGGTGAATTCGGTCCTCGATACCCCCCCTGGTATTTCCTCATGCCATCCTACTACTGTCAAAAGAAGAGAAGTGGGGATTCAGAGTTATCTGCCCTTACCAGTAATGACCATCAAAGCATCAATGGCTCTTTCACTGGCAGCAATCCTAATATTGAACCCGTGCACCAAGATCTCAAGGACAAGGCAGGAGTCCGGTAAACACAACTGATCAGAGAGTGGGATAGATGTGTCAGTCAGTGCTATTGATTGGTGTGACTGCCTCCGCGGTCTAGTGGGTAACATCTGCCTGGTTTCGATTCCCAGGCACGTCTTATCATAGGCATTCCAAGATGCTACTTCTTGTTACCCTGCCTGGCACTTGGCATTAAGTGGATAAGACAAGGACTGGTCAGATCGGAGTCAGTGTTCTGTGTCTGAGGTATCCATGTTAAACTGAGGCATACTTCAGCTCCACATGAGGTATCTCAGTTGGCTAACACTACCACTACAAACACAGCACACAAACACACTCACACTCACACACACAGTCAAACACACTCACACTCACACACACACATACACACTCACCACACATGCACCACACATGCACATGACTTTTTTTGTGCAAAGGTTAAAGAGTTTAAATCATCATGTCTAGTGATTTTTTGTATCAAATTTCATACTTTTATTGACCAAGTTTGTTAAACCTGTTTATTCACCTGAATTCGCTGAAGGGATGCGATAATGCTCATCAATTATTTTGACCCCGAAGGTAGCGTTGTTTGTTTTTGAAAATGTCCGGACAGAAAAATTTAAATGTCCTGTAAGCAATATTTTAAACCGGACATTTGAGATTCCCAATCGGACATGTCCGACGCATATGCCCGTTTCCGGATCCCTAGTTAAACCCCATTGAACCACCACCTATTGATTAATGTTGAAGGTACTCAAACTATGGGAGGGTTGTATTGTGTTAGGTACCAATGCTCAGTGCATTATTGTTTTCGTTTCAGAATCAACAACATATCTAAAGATTTTCCATCCAAAGAAGAAACAGTCCACGCTGTCCGAGGTAGGCCATATCTATGGACGGCCATTCAGTCCAAAAATACAAAGTTGAAATAAAGGACAAAAGTATGCAATAATAGTCAGATGTTACGAATAAAGAATTAAAAGTTACTAATAAAGGTCCCAAAACAAAACAAACAGATGCCGGTAAAACAATACGAAGGAAATAAAAGTGAAAAGTATGCAATATTTATAGTTGAATCTTATGAAAAGACGTAATATGAAAGGAAAAAACAAATGTGTACTAAAGAACGTCACCTCTCCTCTCCTCTCCAATAGGCTGTATCCACGTTGGAAGGATTATTGAAACCATAGCATTCCCAACACATGTACATGATGTATAATACACATGAAGATCCGGGTTAGAATATGTCTTCAGCAACCCATGCTTGTCATTATTTCCAGACCGCCATCATATAGCTGGAATATTGCTGAGTGCGGCGTTAAACAACAAATAAACAAACAAACATAAGAGGCAACAAGAGGTTGATGCATGTCATCATATCCCACTTGCATAGATCAATGCTCATGATGTCAGTCACTGGATTGTCTGGTCCAGACTTGATTATTTACAGACAGCAGTCATATAGCTGGAACATTGCTGAGTGTGACGTTGAACAACAAACAAACAAACAAGCAAACATGACGTATAAACTGCTGCTGCAAGAGGTTCATCTTCTTCAGGGCTCTCCCTGGACATGTATGAGGGGCACATCACAGCCTTGCTGGGCCACAACGGTGCAGGGAAGACAACTCTCATCAACATGCTGTGTGGATTAACTCCCCCTACTAGTGGCACTGCTACAATCTACGACATGGTTAGTTTACGAGTCAGAGTCAGCTTGTGTTATGATTACAGCGAACTAAGGAGTACCAGTCTCCTATACCACTGCACTTCTGTGGTCAGAGTTGCATCTAGCCAGGATCCGCTGTTCAAATCCCAGAGCCCCGTGAAGATTCCGGGGTAGAATAGGTCTTCAGCAACCCATGCTTGCTGTAAAAGGTGACTATGCTTGTCGTAAAAAGCGACTAACGGGATCGGGTGGTCAGGCTCGCTGACTTGGTTGAAGTGTGTCATCGATCCTAATTGCGTGGATCGATGCTTATGATGTCAATCACTGGATTGTCTGGTCCAGACTTGATTATTTACAGACCGCCGTCATATAGCTGGAATATTGCTGAGTGCGGCGTTAAACAACAAACCAACAACCAATCAAATTCCGGATTTTCCGGGATAATTATCTATGGTTTGTGAGCACCATAATCAGGATTGTGGGCATAACCAAAGTGACCAACATCTTCATGATCAATAATATAAGTAGTGAGTGAGTTGGGTTTAACACCACTTTTAACAGTATTCCAGTTATATCGCTGCGTGTCAGCTGAATGTGGGAGGAAAGCCCGAAGTGATGCAGGTCTCAGACGTTTACCACTTTGGTGAAACCCACGAACACAGTTATGGTGCTGACAAACCTAGAAACATAATTGGGGCGAACTGGGATTCGAACCCACAATCATAGGTTTCGGGCATGCCCAAGGGATGCAAATCACGGTGCTTAGGCGACTGGGCCACCCGTGTCCCCGATGGATAATATAACCTGTTGAAACAGTACTGAACCAATATCCTTCCCTCACAATGATTTCATGTGCAAAATATACAACTGTCTGGAAAAGGAACAATATGAGTGAAAATAACGTGGGGATTCCAGACTTGGTCCCCAGCAACCCTTGCTTGTTGTATGAGGTGACTTAGTAGACTGTAGGGCTGGGACGGGTAACTCGGGTACTCGGGTAGGTCCTGAGTAGGACTCAGGTACCCACAGGACTACCCGGACCCGTGGTTTGATGACAAAAACTCACTATAGCTTATTGGTTCCACAAAAGTCGCTAATGTTCGCATTTCTTTCTGACGATGTACACATTCCTTTTGACTGGTATATGTTTGAGTAAAGATAAAACTTCAGTCAACTTCAGTGTACTGATCGTTTGATACATTAATCTAAATAGTTTTGGCCAGGCCTACGATAAAACAATTCCCAATCAGACATTTTGTTCCCAACTCTTGAGACCTGCAGTGGGTACCCGGGTAGGGCCGGGTAATAGGGGATCGGGTACCCGGGTAGGGCCAGGTAATAGGGGATCGGGTACCCGGGTAGTAAATTTGGACTCGTCCCAGCCCTAGTCCCCAGCAACCCTTGCTTGTTGTATGAGGTGACTTAGCAGACTGAGTGGCCAGACCTGGAGACTTGGTTGATTACATGTAATTGTACCCCATTGGCATGGGATGTTACATATTTGTTTGTTGTTTTATTGCCACAACAAGCAGTGTTGTACTAATCATTGGTTTGTCTGGTCCTGACTTGATTGTTTACAGGCCATCATCTTCAAGCTGGAACATTGCTTGTTGTGGCGATAAAACAACAACAAAATATGTTATCAGATGTTCATTATCTTGCACAATGATCAACTGTCATCCAAAATGTTCTAAAGATATTTTTCAAATTTGGTAATGATATTAAAGAATGTACAGTAAACTATGGTTATAACGAACTCAAAGGGACCACTCATTTTAGTTCCTTATAACCATAGTTTGTTATAAGCATATATACAGCATATGTACAGCAAATGACCGGACCAAACAAGTTTGTTATATCCGTTCACATACAGCTGTATGACATCATACTGTTGTCATTCACATACAGTTGTATGACATCATACTGTTGTCATTCATCTACAACTGTACGATATCACACCAGTGTCATTCACATACAACTGTACGATATCACACCAGTGTCATTCACTCAAAGGGACCACTCATTTTAGTTCCTTATAACCATAGTTTGTTATAAGCATATATACAGCATATGCAAATGACCGGATCAAACAAGTTTGTTATATCCGTCAGTTTGTTAAAAGCGTGTTCGTTATAAACGTAGTTCACTGTAATATCAAAAGCTGATAAAATCATTAAAATGTCCTATTGCCATTTGTTGCAGCAAAATTACTAATTATATATGAAAACTTGCCGTGTAAGGACATATTCCATCATCAATGGAAATGACTAGTGACATAACCTTAATATAGAAGTAACCTCCTAACTTGAACAATAAACTAGCAATGGCCTCATATTCTGGCATTTTGCAAGAGGCACAGGTGGTCCAGGCATGTAAGGTGCCGTAATCCACTGTGCAGTCTCCCATTTTGATAAACTTAGTGGAACTTACAACCATTAGTGTTGGCATTTCACACCTTAATTTTTTGCATCCAATTTCTCAATTTGTTTAAGAATAAATGACTCGTGGTCGTGGTGATCATACAAGTAAACACTGCAATGAGAATAAACTACGAGGCCGTAAATGCCTGGTTCATTCTCCCTGCAGTGGTTTATTAAATGATAAACAACGACCACAAGTCTTTTATTTATTTTATGAGATATCAACATTATTTACAGACTCATTAGGAATGTTAATAAAATTTACAAGCTCTAAATATATTTACCCATTTTTAAATAATAATGACTCCCTGAATACAGTCTGATCAGCAGTGTCAGACAAGTCAAAGTTATGAACAGGGGGATTAAGTTTGGTATTTCATGAATGTTTCACAAACATCAGAACAATAAATAAAGAGTATATATCTTTTTTCTCAAACTGTCTTTCTACCCTCTCAAAAAGAGTATCGTTCAATTTAAGACGTCATTACGTAACGAGTGTATGTTTGAATTTTAAGAAACACGTCATGATACTGATAGAACAATGTTTTGTCCTGTCCAGGATGTTTCTAACAGTGGCGACATGGAGCGCCTTCGGGCCATGTGTGGGGTGTGTCCACAACACAACATCCTCTACGATGACCTCACCACTAAGGAGCATCTCATTGTGTTTGCTGGTATCAAGGGCGTTGCGGAAGATGGCAAGGAGGAAGCTGTAAGTTTGGCTCCTGAAGCACTACTGATGTGATGTAATATGCATGATGTACGTAGCGGTTACGGCATAATATTCATGATGTAGTTGTTACGGCATAATATTCATGGTGTAGCTGTTATGGCATAATATTCATGATGTAGCTGTTATTGCATAATATTCATGATGTAGTAGTTATGGCATAATATTCATGATGTAGCTGTTATGGCATAATATTCATGATGTAGGTGTATGGAATAATATTCATGATGTAGCTTTTATGGTGTTATATTCATGATGTAGCTGTTATTGCATAATATTCATGAGGTAGCTGTTATGGCATAATATTCATGATGTAGCTGTTACGGCATAATATTCATGATGTAGCTGTTATTGCATAATATTCATGATGTAGCTGTTATGGCATAATATTCATGATGTAGCTGTTATGGCATGATATTCATGATGTAGCTGTTATGGCATAATATTCATGATGTAGCTGTTATGGCATAATATTCATGATGTAGCTGTTATTGTGTTATATTCATGATGTAGCTGTTATGGCATAATATTCATGATGTAGCTGTTATGGCATAATATTAATGATGTAGCTGTTTTTGTGTAATTTACATGATGTAGCATTTATGGCATGATATTCATGATGTAGCTGTTATTGCATAATATTCTTGATGTAGCTGTTATTGTGTAATTTACATGATGTAGCTGTTATGGCATAATATTCATGATGTAGCTGTTATTGTGTAATTTACATGTTGTAGCTGTTATGGCATAATATTCTTGATGTAGCTGTTATTGTGTAATTTACATGTTGTAGCTGTTATGGCATAATATTCTTGATGTAGCTGTTATTGTGTAATTTACATGATGTAGTTTTTATGACATAATATTCATGATGTATTCATATTTCTGGTGCTAAATACTTTTGTTGAGCAAGTGCTCATAAACCAACCAATGATGTGTTACAGGTGACAAGGGCTATGAAAGATGCAGACATTTATGAGAAGGCTGACACATTTGCCAAGAACCTCAGTGGAGGACAGAAAAGAAAGCTGTCTGTTGCTATGGCACTCATTGGAGACCCAAAGGCAAGTTTGGCACAAGGGCACAGCTGTATGACATCATACTGTTGTCATTCACATACAGCTGTATGACATCATAATGTTGTCATTCACATACAGCTGTATGACATCATACTGGTGTCATTCACATACAGCTGTATTACATCATACTGTTGTCATTCACATACAGCTGTATTACATCATACTGTTGTCATTCACATACAGCTGTACCGCATCATACCGTTGTCATTCACATACAGTTGTACGACATCATACTGTTGTCATTCACATACAACTGTACAATATCACACCAGTGTCATTCATCTACAACTGTATGATATCACACCAGTGTCATTCACATACAACTGTATGATATCACACCAGTGTCATTCACATACAACTGTAAGATATCACACCTGTGTCATTCACATATAACTGTACAAATGTTGCACAAGTGTCATTCACATACAACTGTACGATATCACACCAGTGTCATTCACATGCAACTGTACGATATCACTCCAGTGTCATTGACATACAACTGTACAATGTTGCACTAGTGTCATTGACATACAACTATACAATTTCACACCTGTGTCATTCACATTTAACTGTACGATATCACACCTGTGTCATTCACATACAACTGTACGATATCACACCAGTGTCATTCACATGCAATGTATGATATCACACCAGTGTCATTGACATACAACTGTACAATATCACACTAGTGTCATTCACATACAATGTATGATATCACACCTGTGTCATTCACATATAACTGTACGATATCACACCTGTGTCATTCACATACAATGTATGATATCACACCTGTGTCATTCACATTTAACTGTACGATATCACACCTGTGTCAATCACATACAATGTATGATATCACACCAGTGTCATTGACATACAACTGTACAATATCACACTAGTGTCATTCACATACAATGTATGATATCACACCTGTGTCATTCACATATAACTGTACGATGTTGCACCAGTGTCATTCACATACAACTGAACAATATCACACCAGTGTCATTCACATACAACTGTACGATATCACACCAGTGTCATTCACATACAACTGTACGATATCACACCTGTGTCATTCACATACAACTGTACGATATCACACCAGTGTCATTCACATACAACTGTACGATATCACACCTGTGTCATTCACATACAACTGTACGATATCACACCAGTGTCATTCACATACAATGTATGATATCACACCAGTGTCATTGACATACAACTGTACAATATCACACTAGTGTCATTCACATACAATGTATGATATCACACCTGTGTCATTCACATATAACTGTACGATATCACACCTGTGTCATTCACATACAATGTATGATATCACACCTGTGTCATTCACATTTAACTGTACGATATCACACCTGTGTCATTCACATACAATGTATGATATCACACCAGTGTCATTCACATACAACTGTACAATATCACACTAGTGTCATTCACATACAATGTATGATATCACACCTGTGTCATTCACATATAACTGTACGATGTTGCACCAGTGTCATTCACATACAACTGAACAATATCACACCAGTGTCATTCACATACAACTGTACGATATCACACCAGTGTCATTCACATACAACTGTACGAAATCACACCAGTGTCATTCACATACACATATGTACGATGTTGCACTACTGTCATTCGTGTACAACTGTACGTCACACCGGTGGTATTCATGTACAACTGTATGTCACACCGGTGGTATTCATGTACAACTGTACGTCACACCGGTGGTATTCATGTACAACTGAACGTCACACCGGTGGTATTCATGTACAACTGTACGTCACACCGGTGGTATTCATGTACAACTGTACGTCACACCGGTGGTATTCATGTACAACTGTACGTCACACCGGTGGTATTCATGTACAACTGTACGTCACACCAGTGTCATTCGTGTACAACTGTATGTCACACTAGTGTCATTCAGATGCAGCTGTACGACATCATACTGGTGTTACAAGCATGATTACCTCTAAACAAAACAACAATAATGTCACTGAATTACATGTATGTGACTCTTACAGATTATCTTCCTGGATGAGCCAACGGCTGGGATGGACCCTTTCTCACGGCGCCATCTTTGGTCACTCCTGCAGAACAGCAAAAAGGGACGCATTATCTTGTTGACGACTCATTTCATGGATGAAGCAGACATCTTAGCAGGTAAGAAACTCAACATGTTTTTCTGGGTCATGCACATATCTTGCAGAGTTGTGTCCGCTAGTCCTGCAAGGATCCAGTGATCACATGGTCACAGTTTCTCCCTGATTCCGATTATATCTGCAAGGGTCCAGTGACCAGGTGGTCCCTGATTCCGATGTGCTGCAAGGGTCCAGTGACCAGGTGGTCCCTGATTCCGATTAGTGCTGCAATGGTCCAGTGACCAGGTGGTCCCTGATTTCGATTAGTGCTGCAAGGGTCCAGTGACCAGGTGGTCCCTGATTCCGATTACTGCTGCAAGGGTCCAGTGACCAGGTGGTCCCTGATTTCGATTAGTGCTGCAAGGGTCCAGTGACCAGGTGGTCCCTGATTCCGATTACTGCTGCAAGGGTCCAGTGACCAGGTGGTCCCTGATTCACCCTGATTCCGATTATTGCACCATACCCATATTCATCAGTTTAACCAACACAGTATTTGTCTGGACCTGTAACACTTTGGACTTGTCTCCTGCATTAAGTGAGTGAGTGAATTGGGTTTAATGCTGCTTTGAACAGTATTCCACTGATATCACAGCTTGTCAGTATAATGTGGGAAGAAAGCCTAAAGTAATGCAGGTCTCAGACATTTACCATTTTAGGTGAAGTCCACGAAATACAGGTATGGTTCTAACAAACTTAGAAACATAATAGGGTCAAACAAGATTTGGAACCCACAATCATAGGTTTCTGGAGTACCCAACTTACCCACTCAAAACCCACATTGTTTTTCTGATGATTGCAAAATTTATTGATTTAACAATTTACCTAATGAGATGGCCATTCATCTATGCTGCTAAAATGGATGTTGTATTCTTATACTCGCAGATCGCAAGGCCATCATCAGCCATGGCACTCTCAGATGCCTAGGATCTTCACTGTTCCTCAAGAACAGATTTGGAATTGGCTACCATCTGAAGTGAGTAAGAAAGGATGCAATAACACAACATGCTAGCCAGTCAGTTTGTCTAATGCTGATGGTATCCTGAGCCTAGTGGACCAACGAGTCCATAATACTGCTGTGCCGCTGGAAGATTTGAGAATTATTATATTAATAAGGACCCAAACCATGGCAAGGTTTATTTTTTTATCACCTACCGATGACTTTTGGATGATGACAAAAATCATTAAGATGTTCTGGTGTGCCCTTTGGAATCTCAATGTGCCAACAAGAGGTATACTTTTAAACAGTCTTCAGCTTGGTGTGACCGCCTAGTGGTAGAGCATCCGCCTGGAGAGCGGAAGGTCCGGGGTTCTGTAATACCAAAAGACGTTAAAAGATGGTACTTGTTGTTACCCTGTCTGGCGCTCGGCATTAAGGGGCTAAAACAAGGACTGGTCGGCTCGGAGTCAGTATACTGTGTCTGAGTGGGGTATTCATGTTAAACTGCAGCATGGTATCTCAGTGAGCTAGCACTATAAATCGGCATTAGTCCGGACTAGTACAAGCAACCACACAAACACACACGCATACATGCACGTCGCTATATAAGTGCAATAATCTTGGACGCGAAGTTAAACCCCATTTCACCTCACCTGGACCTTGGTGTGTTCGTATGTTCATATTAATACAGGTTTGTCCAGATTAGTTTAGTTAGAACATTTTTAATGTTATAATATATTACAATGTAAATATGATATAAATACATCAACACAAGGAATTATAAATAAATGATTTCTAGGCATGCCAGCACCCGAAACTTATTAGCACTATGATGCAAGGAGTTTCCGACCTTGGAAAGGTTTCGTGTATTTATGATATATATCCTGTTTTCCAGCATGGTGGTCGAGCCTGACTGTAATGCAGAGACTGTGAGCTCTGTGCTCAGTGAGCAGGTCAAGGGTGTCGAGATGAAACGCTCCCATGCCAAGGAGTTGGCCTTCACCTTGCCCCTCTCGGAAGTGTCCACTTTCTCAAGTGAGTCCTACAGTCAACAGTTCGAAGGCAGGGGGTTGGATAAATGCTGGTTTGAGCACAGCAGGCCAGCCTTATATGTCTGATTTTTTAACCCAAAGAAAAAAAGCTTAATCCCGAGCATGGACACCAACAAATAGCAATCAAATAGGCGCCGAGTTTCGCTGTGCTGAGTTGCATCCCCTGGGCACGCCAGAAACCTATGATTGTGGGTTCGCCCCCGATTATGTTTCTAGGTTTGTCGTGCTCGAGGGTTTCACCGAAGTGGTAAATGTGTGAGATCTGCATCACTTCGGGCTTTCCTCCCACTGAAGCTGACACGCCGTGATATAACTGGAATACTGTTGAAAGCGACGTTACACCCAACTCACTCACTCACTCACTCCTATATAAAAGTGGACTTGACAAGTGCTAATCAGTTTCACACGGGCAACAAGAAAACCGATTTCACGAGAGGCACAGGTTATGGTTGAGTTTGTACAAACCACATCAAGGTGACTAGTATACAAGGCAAATTAAAGGGGAAGTGTACACGCAAAAATCGCTTTCTTTCTTTTTCTAAACAAAACGCAATTTTAGAATTAGTTAGTATCTGTGTTTGAAAATATACACTCATTTTTTTCACAGTGAAAGTAGGAAGCTCACAATAGTGTGAAAATGATATGCCGTTATGAGGCCTTCGTTTTTCGAGCTAAACAGGCCTGAGTTATCCCCCTTAGATTATGACGTAATTGGTGCCAATTCAACTGGGTCCCTGTCTATTCTCAACGCAAAAGATATCAAGTACCAGTTTTCGGTAAAACAACATGGCCTACGACACACTCCGGCGCAGTGGTGACTCAGCATAACACTATGCTGGCTGGCATCTGAGACGCTAGAATCACACACCTGTACCTACACCACGTGAAGCGGCTCTAACAAAGCATGATGACGTCATAATGTTTATCAATTGGCACCAATGACGTCATATTGCAAGGGGCATAAGCCATTGTGTTTTTGTTATGGAAATAGAACACTTGGTAAATGTGAAAAATATAAATCGTTTTAATGCAAAACATATGTTAATTAATTGTGATATTTTTATATTTTTGTCTATGACACTTCTAGGTTAACACTTTTATTGTGGAAAAAGTACAAGAAAATTAGGTTCATTTCCGTGTGAACTTGCCCTTTAAGCATCATTAGGGGTCAGTATACTGGTATGAGAAACCTCATGTAATACATGATGTCACAGGAGCTAGCTACCCTCTAAATGGGAGAGCCATGCTGATGCAGATCACAGACAGCTGCCACTTTAATGAAACCCATAGGATCAAGCATGATCCTGACGGACTAAGGATGACATAGTCGATGTGAATCGTGGATTGGAACCTACGTTCAGCGATAGTACTGGCTCACGCTTTGTTGAACTGTTGTTGACAGATGTGTTTCTTTGTTGTTGACAGATATGTTTTCATCCCTGGAGCTGAAAGTTAACGGGACAACTCAGGCAGAAAAGCTTGGTATAAAGAGCTATGGTGTTTCAATGACAACATTGGAAGAAGTATTCCTCAAACTAGGTACGAATGGATACATGACCCTCACAAGTCACTCCTTCATAACAGTTGTCAACACTGTTATATATAACACGCACGCACCAGTTGGTTACTCATTTAGGATGCCTTATATCTGAAATATTGGCAACTGATCAATGAATCTCATTTCACTCTTATCATGTTTGAGGTTGTCAGCACCAATCCCGTGCTTGTGGGTTTCACCGAAGTGGTTAACGTGTGAGACCTGCATCACTTCGGGCTTTCCTCCCACATGAAGCTGACATGCCGCGATATGACTGGAATACTGTTAAAAGCGGCGTTAAACCCAACTCACTCCCTCACCCTGCAAAGATTCGCTGACTGGGGTTGGAATTCCAGATTTGTACTGATTATGATTCTTGCATTGTCAGCACTCTACCCATCTTGTGGGTTGTAAAAGTCCTGCATCACTTTGGGCTTTCCTCCCACATTAAGCTGACACGCCGTGATATGACTGGAATACTGTTAAAAGCGGCGTTAAACCAAACTCACTCACTCACTTATCATGTTTGTGATGCAGGTGAGGACACTGATGAAAATCCTGCTCCTGGACGTGGAATTGAAAACCCTGCCTATGATGAAAATGGTCTCAGATCCACTCAGCAAGTGTTTTCCGAAAGTGAAAGTCAAGTGAACATAGAGATGAAGGATCCCTCGAACCCTACTCAAAGCTTGGCCAATAGACCCACAGTCGAAAACCTGACATCACAGCGATTCTGGGCATTAATGAAGATTCGATTCCTAATTATCATTCGGACTCCAATGGCTGTTATCTTCCAAATCCTTCTCCCCATTGTATTTGTGGTGGTGGGCTGCGTCCTCAGCACCCTCGGCTCAAGCTCCGCAGATAGCTCCAATCCAAAGCCAGTTTCACTGTTCGCAACATCTGCCACGTATGCTTCCGCTCCTCTGGCAGCTATTGACTCTCAAAGTAAGTACACTGAAACAGCGCCGGGCGGTCGGGTAGCCTAGTGGTTAAAGCGTTCGCTCGTCACGCCGAAGACCCGGGTTCGATTCCCGACATGGGTACAATGTGTGAAGCCCATTTCTGGTGTCCCCCGCCGTGATATTGCTGGAATATTGCTAAAAGCGGCGTAAAACCATACTCACTCACTCACTGAAAGAGCGGCACATCTTGTCTTCTCATCCATCGAGGCTAAAAATAATAGTCTTGGTTCTCAGACGACGCCTGCATCATCATAAAGTCCGCCTCACGTTTTATTTTTATTTCCATTCTAATTTTTTTTATAAAAATCCCAATACAAGACAATGCGATGAAAACAAAGCATGCAATTACTTCCCTTTACATGCGCACTGCTTTACTGCGCATCTCGTGTTATGGTAATGGCAGCAATAGGAGTTTGTATGCTTGTCTATGTAAGAAAGCCCTTTCCCAGGTTGATGGTACACAACTGTTTATTTGGTTACATACTAGTTTGAACAAGCAAAAAATTTAAATTTGAAAAAAACACCGACTGCCTGCACTATATTTTCAAAAGTAATTGCCCGAGAACCAATTCTTTTATTTTTTTAAGCCCATAGTATGTGAGGGACTTCATAAAATGTTTTCTTTGTTGTTTAATGCCACACTCAGCAAAATTCTAGCTATATGGCGGCAGTCTGTAAATAATCGATTCTGGGCCAGACAATCCAGTGATTGACTTGAGCATCGATCTACGCAATTGGGATATATGAGCGAGTTTATGCTGTTTAGCAGACACAGAATTAATCCTAGCTGTCATGACAACCTGTAAATAATCATTGCTGACCACAAAAAACTTATAATTGAAAAGTCTACACAATTAAATAAAAATTTGTCATGAAATGGTGACTGTCATCTAGGGTGCCACAACCCACTGTCCCATGGGCACGCCAGAAACCTATGATCGTGGTTTCCAATCCCAGTTCATCAAAAGTATGTTTCTAGGTTTGTCACCACCATGCTCGTGCTTGTGCTTTTCACCATAGTGGTAAACACCTGAGGCCTGCATGACTAAGGGCTTTCCTCTTACATTAAGCTGACACGACGGGATATAACTGGAATACTGTTCAAAGGGTGTTTAACCCAATTCACTCACTCACTCACTCACTCACTCACTCACTCACTCACTCACTCACTCACTCACTCACTCACTGTCATAGTTGTAGAAGGCTATCTTTATCATTCTGCAGTGCAATCTGTAAATGACACTGAAAGACTTCAGTTTGTATGGTCAGCTCTGGTGACAGTATAAACGTGTTTAGACCCGTGAAGATCCGGGGTTCAATAGGTCTTCAGCAACCTATGCTTGCCGTAAAAGGCGACTGCTTGTCGTAATAGGCGACTAGCAGGATCGGGTGGTCAGGCTCGCTGACTTGGTTGATGCATGTCATCGTATCTCAATTGCGTGGATCGATGCTCATGATGTCAATCACTGGATTGTCTGGTCCAGGCTTGATTATTTACAGACCGTCGTCATATAACTGGAATATTGCTGAGTGCGGCGTTAAACAACATACAAAACAAAAAATATAATCGTGTTTATTTACAATCGAGAAAAGTCTGACCTGGTGATGCACAAATTAGCTTACATAAGCAGTATAAGTCATCACTGCACAGGAGTGTCATAAAATATTTCTTTTTATCTGAACAGATGATGCTGATTCCACAACGTTTATCTCAAAAGTAAATGACACCTGGCGAGTTGATAAAAATCTCAACATAAGCCTGTTGTTGTACCCAAACCACTTTCTTGGCTTCAACCTTCAACAATATCAGACATCGGTAAGTCATCAACACTCACTTCCAAATTCAAAATGTGAAGATAATGTCTTTGAATTCCCTCTACCTCCGTCTACCTATTTTCACATTGAATAAAAATGAGGTTAGCAAAATGGGACTGGATACTCAATTTGGAGATAAACCAATTGTGTTTTCAATTTAGAGGTTTCAAACATAGATTTCATACCTGTAAATTTCATTGAAACCACATGTCAGCCAGTGGTTTGGAATTTGAAAAGTTGAGTTTTCAATTTAGGGGGTTCAACTGTAGAATTGATATCTGTAAATTTAATTGAATTCAAATGGCAGACTAAGGTTTTGAATTTGAAAAAATCACAGGTAAAACTTATTGTACCAGTATCCAGATATTTTAGCTATTAATCTCAAAGATCCATGGTTTTTAACACTGCTTTTGTTTTCAACCCTCTTGACAAGAATGAACTTCCAGTAACAAATACATTGTGGTTGGATTGTCTGAATACAATATGACAGTACTTGGATGGTACCATATATATGACAGCCTGCCTATAGTCATAGTTTTGTTTGCTATTGTTTCACACCCCAATACCGAATAGCACCCCAATACCCCAATAGCGCCCACAGTGACATTTGCTAATATATTGGCTGGTGAACAATCCCAATTAGCACCCCTTCCGATTAATCATTGTACACAAGACTTATTTATTCACATATAATACGCACTCGTGTGTTATATGCACCCTTAATTATGGGCAATTAAATTCTGGAAAAATATATCTGTCGTACATAAACATTTCAGGCTGTCAGCATAAACCATGAAATTTATCTTTCAACTCTTTTTTCACCAAAACAATATTCTAATAAGAACCCCCTATTTCTTATTTTGAGAGCGCCCTGGGCGCTTATTACGTCGAATACAGTATATAAAGAAATAAAGACTTATTGGTAAACATATTTAATGAGCAGTATTTTACTTAGCCGCTCTCACATTTATTTGGTCGACACATGTTGTACCATTATGTCATCGTGAACTTGATATCTTGTGTCAAGTTGCATGAAAACAATTAGTGATATATTTTATTACTAAATGGGGTTTTCAGACTCATCAGTAATATAAAAAACCCTCTCAGTTGAGAATTTTATGTTTTTGTACTTTCCTGATTTTTACATTCAGCATATCCATACACCAATAAAAAGAAAAATAATGCATTACTGTTGGAGCATCTATAAGTCACCAAAGGGACATTACTACATTGCCATTGTTGATCCAGAAATGTGTTCTGTGGATGTTGCCCTGGAAACTGGTTTCAGTGCTTACTCAAATGTACCTGGGTGATCTAAGTCTAGACTCTGCACTTTCATGTTCCTGGAAATAAGTGCAACAAAAGTGTATGGTCTGATGTGTCATTGCCCCCATGGGATGATCTATCTGCGTTCTGATCAAACCACCTTGCTAACCAGATAATCGGGGATCTAGGAGAATGAGCATTGGACTTTGGGACTTTTCAAACAACATTGATATCAGTAATGGAATGCATGGCTTGGTTATGAGACTAGATGTTAGAGTAACACAGTACATTAGTTTACTTGAAAGTACCCAGGTATATGACAGTTTAAAGCTAGGCCCAAACAAAAGTGCCCTCAGAGCTCCAGATAAGCTGCGTATCTGCGTAAAATACGCATCAGAAATGCAGAAATACGCAGTAAAATAAAATCCAAGCGTATCAAATACGCAACGAACATTACAGATACGCTACAAAAATAAGACTTGTGCGTATCATCAAAATATTGTGAAGTAACCCTGCGTATTCGATTAGCAAATCAGCAACTTATTTTGAAATTATAAACGGGCATTCCGTCAACCTTGCCAAACTCCAAGATGACAGTTACATCATGATCATTTGCCATCACACTTTCTTGTGGAAGTATCATGGTATTTTTGTGTCCTATAAAGCTCTCGAACCCACACGAAACCAGTTTGCAGGGACTAGATGAATAGTGTTCTTAAATATTTAACTTAAATACCCACATGTGTAAAAACTAGTGGGTAACAGAAATTTGAATACGCAGATAGAATTACTGATACCCAATGATTTTTAAATGCATGGGTAAAATACCCACAACACCAAAAGCTTATCTGGAGCTCTGTGCCCTTCACTTCTCTCACCATTTCAGAACAATGACATCAACTACACAGCGTTGTACAACACAACCGCACTCCACTCCCTCCCCACCATCATCAACATCATGTCCAACACCCTGTACAGTATAGTAACTGGAGGCTCCAACATCTCGGGGAGCAGCCTCCCGTGGCCGTCCATCACGACTCAACTTAAATACAGTGGATCAGCGTTCTCGGCAACACTGGTTGTGGCCCTGGCATTTGCAGTTCTGTCTCCTGGGTTTGCTATGTTCCTGGTTGTAGAGAGACAGGTATGTGTTCATTTACTCTATGTTGATCTATACCCCATTTTCTATTGATCCATTCAAAGACGTATGTATATACACACGTCTTTGATCCATTTCAACTAATTATTCATTTATTCAATTTCAATCTCATTAAAATCAGATCTTAGTTCTCGCTGCCGCGAAAAAAAGATCTGAAGACATCCCATTACGGGTTACGTCAGACCGACCTTTCGCAAACTCTGACCGACCAATGGAATTACTGACAAGAAGTTGACATTAACCAATCAGAAGGCAGCTTTCTCGTGGTTTATGGCACTAATTTCAAATTGGCGACTACGCTTCGAAAATATTTTGACAAATTCTCGCTAAAAAATTTGAAACCTGAACAAAAGAACATTCTGGAATGGCTAATATATGGTCTAGATTGTATAGATACAGTCGTTAAGCCCATAACTATCGTTCGAAATACCCCGTTTTAAAGTTATCGAGGCTGCATGATTAGAAATCACATTCCGACTTTCACTTTCATGATCTGGTAAGCGACGCTCTGATTGGATGGATGAAAGGTCGTTCTGACGTGACCCCTAATGGGATGTCATCAGATCTTTGTTTAGCGGTAGCGAGAACTAAGATCTGATTTGAATGAGATTGATTCAATTTAGATATCTATTTACTTTACTTACTGACTTTGCTGTGCAGCCAGGGCAACAATTGGTTTTCTCAGCCACGCACTTATGACAGATGTTAGAGACTTCATACCTGATACACCTCCAATATACCCATGGACAACCTCTGCAGCACTGTCTGTACTGGGCATATGTTTAATAAACCAGAAGTGTTCATAACTTAAATATTAAGGTAGTATGAGGCATAGTCTTTCCTGTTTCAAAATAGTATTGTACTGGCCATGTGTTTTCACAAACCGGAAGTGATGTTATTAAACCATAAGTGCCCACCTGTGAGAGTTGTAGGCAGCTATGTGCTAATATGGGTACAACTACTCATTATAGTTGATAGTGAGGAAGCCCCCCTTTGAAAATTTGAAGATTTAGTTATATTGTGCTTTCAGCCAAAATACAGGATTATAGCAATGATGTAATAGAGGTAGTATTCTTTGAATTATTAAAATGTATAACTATGGTTTTGATATCTAAAAATATTTAACATCGATGTTTGACTCTCATTGCTTTTCTTAGCGATCTTAGCACTACAACTACCATCTTCCCGATGCAAGGGTGTCTATTAACCTATATCAAAGTCTAGGTTTTACTCTTACTTTTCTGTGGGCGGTTGGGGGGCACGGGTGGCCCAGTCTTCTAAGGCGCCGCGATTCGCTGTGCAGAGTTGCGTCCCTTGGGCACGCCAGAAACCTATGATTGTGGGTTCGAATCCCGGTTCGCCCCGATTATGTTTCTAGGTTTGTCAGCACCATACCCGTGCTCGTGGGTTTCACCGAAGTGGTAAACGTCTGAGACCTGCATCACTTCGGGCTTTCCTCCCACATTAAGCTGACACGCCGTGATATAACTGGAATACTGTTAAAAGCTGCGTTAAACCCACTCACTCACACTGTGGGCGGTCGGATATCCTTGTAGTTAAAGCGTTCGCCCGTCATTCTGAAGCCCCGGGTTCGATTCCCGACATGGGTACAATGTGTGAAGCCCATTTCTTGTGTCCTCCGTCGTGATATTGCTGGAATATTGCTAAAAGTGGCGTAAAACCAAACTCACTCACTCACTCACTCTTACTTTTCTGTTATAAAATATGGGGGGTCTATCACACATATCGACAGTCCAATCAGAGACTTGGATATAGGCTAGTGGACACTCTTGCCTCGAGCAGATATACAACTACTGTAACTGCCCTTGTTTTACATAGGCTCATAGTAGTCATACTCGTATGTTGCAATCACTTTGTGGAAGTGGGCCCAGTGGGACTTGTCATTGCATATGATTACATTTTTTGAAAGGTTTCATTTGTTTTTCTCAGTCTCAAATATCAAAAGAATGACATTTGTCCTTGTGACATTAATATATATTATTAGGTATATACTGAGCTTGATTAATATTTCTCTGCTTTCTGCAGGCAGTTTAGTTGTCAAGGGAGCATGTCATACCTTACCAAAGTGATGTCATGTCTGCCTTGCTATGTACATATATGCTAATGCTCTTCATCCTGTGAAGATCCAGGTTATGGTGTGCAGTAACACATGTTGTCGTAAGAGTCAAAGGGATCGGGTAGTCAGACTTGCTGACTTGGTTGATGAATGTCATCGTATCCCAATTTCATAGATCGATGCTCATGTCAATCACTGAATTATCTGCTCCAGACTTGATTATTTACAGACCGCTGTCATATGGCTGAAATATTGCTGAGTGCAACTCGACAAACAAACAAAATAATAACTAATTCTCTTCTCTTGTTGCAGACCAAAACTCGAGGCCAGCAAAGAGTGGCTGGCATCACCTTCAACATGTACTGGGCGTCCTTGTTTATACTGAATTGCACCATGTTTGCCATCCCCGTCGTCATCTGCATCATCATTGTCGGAGCCGTGCCGGTAGTAGGACTTTCTACCCATTGTGTTGACGACAAAATTAGGCCTTATATTTGTTTTTAGTCATCTAAGGTGCCACAATTCACTGTACAGAGTTGCATCCCTTGGGCATGCAAGAAACATATATGATCATGGTTTTCGAACCCAAGTCTGCCCTTATTATGTTTCTAGGTGTGTCAGCACCATACTCGTGCTTGTGGGTTTCACCAAAGTGGTAAACATCTAAGACCTGCATGCTGACATGCCCTGATAAAACTGGAATACTGTTCAAAGCAGTGATAAACAGACTCACTCACTCACTCGTGCGCGCTCACTCACTCACTCACTCACTCACTCACTCGAAAGGGTGCACGGGAATCATGCACGTTGAGACGTCCAACGCTAACACCGTATTCGTGCGTGTGTGATGGCCCTGTGACGCAGGGGTAGCATTATACAGATGGCTGTTTCAATGAATGCTCGTTCCACCCGTGACGAACAGGTCTGGTTGTTGATGAAATATAGTGATAGCTAAATAGACAGATTTTTTATTCATGCACCGATTGTCTTTAAATGTAATATCCAGTTATGTATGACTATTTAATCTCATACCAACTTTGACTGGAGTAGGTCCGATAGTTTTTCAGATATTGTAGTAAATGTTGGTACCTTAAATTACCTTCCAGACTGTACATCAGACCCCAGAAGCGATGCTACACAAGCGTATATCATTGTGTGAGCTCTGTTGTTGCAGGTAGCTTCCCTGAGTTCGGCCGGAGCTATGGTGTCCCTGGTGTTGCTGTTCATCACCTACATCCCTGCCAACATCCTCGTTGTCTACAACTTGTCCTTTGCCTTTGATGCGTACGAGACGTGTCAGGCAGTGCTGCCCAATCTCATGATATTTGTGAGTAAATCCTCACATTCACATGTGAAAAGTATTGCAATCCTAGTACAGTCACGTCCTATTAATCCGACATGGTTGGTTGCATATGATTATGTCAGATTAACGAGTATGTCAGATACTAGATAAATTAAATAGTATCAACGTTCATGATTGAAATTTCGACGAGTCAATAGTTAATGATACATGTAAGTTGTAATAAAATAATTAAATAGGTAATATTCCTATTATGTTATCCTGACGGCAGAATATGTTTCCTTATCATATAACCTCGAAAAACTTAATACAGGGCATTCTGAACTACAGCTACAGCTTGAAAGACAGTTTGAAACTAGTGCCATAAAGCTAATCTTGACTTCCAGCTAGTCATTTCATTCGTCAATCAAAGTTCGCTAAACAGTAGAGGACGTAACGTGTACGCGAGACGGCTCTCCTGTCTCGCGTACAAGTGACCACCTGAGAGGGTCATCCTGATGTGACCTGTAACATTGGATATCCTCAACAGTAGCAAGAACTTAGATCTGATTTTGATGAGATTGAGGTAATCTAGACACGTGATTAATCCTTTTTGTTTATTTAGAGGATTAATTGTTCATTGTTAAGCAAATTCCTCTGCAGCCATTTAATATGCAGGAACAAGCCTTCTCGTCTCACATCAAAACATGGGGCTGTGTACTCGCAGGCAGATTACCACAGAGTACACTGATCACTGTGTCAGATTAACGAGACTTATTAATGAGTGATTTCAGTAGTTCGTTGCTAACAGGTGTGTCTGAGTCTGAGTGCGAGACTTTCAGATAAACGGGTCTAGATAGCACTGATTTAATCAGTTCCCATCATCATTAGTGTCAGGTAAAGCTGATTGTCGGATTAACGAGACTTGACTATGTTAAAGTTTGTACCTTTATGAAGAAGTGAGAATTTTTGTGAGCGAAAAAGAATTGACTTGATAATTAGTTAACTCTCAGGCAGCTTAGACTTGTGTTTTGGGGTTGACGGGTAGGGAATTAGACGTAAGTAGTACTACTGGTCATACTTGCTGTGTACAATACTGTGTATATTTGCTAATGAACTTACCCATCAGCCAGGACAGTGACAGGTCCAAATCTACTACCCGGGTACCCAAGCCCCTATTATTTGGAGATCCCATTGTGGGTTTCAAGAGTTGGGTACAAAACGTCCGATTGGTAATTGTTTTACTGGAGCTCTTGCAAAAAGTATTTTGATACATGCATAAAACAACCCCTATTCGATGTAGGCCTCAAGAGTTGGTTCAAATGAGCCCTGGCAATAAGTATTTAGATACACATATAAAACAAGCTGATCATGTGTACACTGAGGTGAGGTGAAATTGGGTTTAACGTGTGTGTGTGTCTGTGTGTGTCTGTGGCTGTGGCTGTGTGGCTGTGGCTGTGGCTGTGGCTGTAGCTGTGTGGCTGCTTGTTCTAGTCCGGACTGATGCCGATTTATAGTGCTACCTCACTGAGATACCATGCCGCAGTATAATGTGAATACCCCACTCAGACACAGTATACCGACTTCGAGCCGACCAGTCCTTGTTTTAGCCCCTTAATGGTGAGCACCAAACAGGATAACAACAAGTACCATATTTTAACGTCTTTTGGTATGACACGGTCGGGGATCGAACCCCGGACCTTCCGCTCTCCGGGTGGAATGTGTACACTGAAATTGACAGAAAGTTGTGGTGATATGCATGTGTGACACTTATTTTTTATTGATAATACAAGGCATGTTACAAAATAATGGCATGATGAATTCTGGCTGTCAGTGAGGGCTGTCTAAGCACCACACATGCGCTCCTTGTGTTTCAGGGTACACTTTTGCCTTATGTCGCTGTGTCACTCACGGACATGCTGGGGTCGGCGGATGCTGCGACAGCTATCCACTACGTCATGACAGTCATCAACCCACTGTACGCCCTAATCGGAGGCCTGTACTACATCGACAGGGTAAGAATACATTCCCAGCGAGATGGTAGGGTAGACTGGTGGTTGCAGCGTTGGCTCATCACTCCAAGGGGCGGTCGGGTAGCCTAGTGGTTAAAGCGTTTGCTGGTCACACAGAAGATCCGGGTTCGATTCACGACATGGGTACAATATGTGAAGCCCATTTCTGGTGTCCCCCACCGTGATATTGCTGGAATATTGCTAAAAGCAGCATAAAACCATACTCACTCACTCACTCATCACTCCAAAGTGCCATGTTCAGTTCCCATCATGGGTCAAAGTGTGCAGCCCATTTCTGGTGTCCCCTCCTATGATATTGCTGGCATATTGCTACAAGAGGCGTAAAACCATACTCTTTCATGGACTTTGTGTATCGGAGTAAAAGATCGGACTTTAATCAGTGAATGAGTTAGTTGGGTTAACACCGCTTTTAAGAGTATTCAAGTTATATCACAGCGTGTGAGCTTGATATGGGAGTAAAGCCCGAAGTGATGCAGGTCTCAGACATTCGATGAAACCCATGAGCAGGTATATGGTGCTGATGAACCTAGAAACAAAATCAGGGTGAACTGGGATTTAAAACCACGATCCTGAGATTGCACTCGGCCCATCTTTTCACTAATACAGTCGTCCCTCACGCTAATGCCTGTCAAGATATTGGTGTTGCACTTAAAGTTAAAGTGAAAGGTAATCAGTGGCTCCAATAAATTTCATATTGTTTCTTATAACTAGTACTTGGTATTTGGTATTTAGTATTTATCCCCTGCCAAACAAAGTTGGCGGGTGTTATAGAAACGGGCTCCGTCCGTCCGTCACATTTCGTTTCCGCAGCATAACTCATAAACCGTTCAATATTTTTTCATCAAACTTTGCAGGTTTGTCAGGTACATGCTGAACTGATGCCTTTTGCTATTTAGAAATTTTAGAAATTTTAATTTTTTTATGTTTCCATGGCAGCAAGATGGACTTAGGTTCCAAACTCTTCTTTTTTTTACAATTTCCATGACAAGTTCCACCTCGGTTAAAAAAGGTTAGGGTTTGTTTAGATTTAATTATGTCATAAATTCTGCAACAGGGGCGGGAGACATAGCCACGTCAGTGGCAAACTCTTGATGGTATTTGGTTGGAGTACAGCGAGGACCCAATGAAATAATACTCTCATACAAACCTGGCTTGTGTTATTGGTTAATGTTCAAGTTTCTCAGCATTCCTGTCGCTAAGTTGACATACTCCGAATTTTGATGTGATCAGTCAATGACTGCCTTCCTTTCAGCATTTTAGAGATTTGATTGGCTGGGCAACCTGAAGCTGTTGTTTTGATAAGATGTTGAAATAAGCGTGAAGTTGGCATCCTTTGTGAATTTATATTGAAACATTTGTTTTGGATATCAAACCCATGTCATTTAATACCATCATAATATGACTTGCAAGCAGTGCCAAATGATTTAACATATTCGACGTAATTAGCCCCCCGCTCTAATAAGCGCCCACCGCGATATTTGCTCATACATTGGCTATTGAACAATCCCAATTAGAACCCCTTCCGATTGATCAATGTACACGAGACTTATTTATTCGTGTATTATACAGACTCGTGTGTTATATGCACCCTTAATTATGGGCAATTAGATCCTGGAAAATATATCTGTCGTGTATAATACGCACAGACTTTTCTTTTGTATCATTTCAGGCTGTCAGCATAAACCACGAAATTTATAATCTTTCAACTCTGGATTTTTTTCACCAAAATTATATTCTAATTATAGCCCCCTATTTCTATTTTGAGAGCGCCCTGGGTGCTTATTACGTCGAATACGGTACACATGTTTTTCTTACCGTATTTGCATTCTGATAGTCCCAGCGGTCATGGAAGTTAAAGACAACTGGATAGGGACTATCATACATTTTAATTTTCCCACAGATTATTCAAATTGATTAATTTGTTCGAGATTTAGATTTATACTTGTTCTGTGCTGTATAATTTTTTGTGATGACTGTCATAGATGTTCATCTAGCGTGTCAACTTTCTGATCCAATCTGTTGAATAAACAGGAAACATATACATTAGACTTTCAGCGGTGTTATGCATCCAGGTATTTACACTGAAACATTGTAAGTAGGCACAAAACAGGTAGAGTGCATCACCTGGGACACTGACAATTTGTATGCATGTTTAGGAATGAATGCTGCTATTTCATAATTTGGTACCACTTAAAATCAATTTCTTTATGTGATTATTTAAAAAGTACAATTCACAGTGAATGATTCACGATTCTACTACCACTATAGGGCTGGGACAAGTCTAAATTTACTACCCGGTTACCCACTGAAGGCATCAAGTTATATACAAAATGTCTGAGTTGAAAATTCCTTTAGATGCACATATAAAACGATCTGATCATGCATGCACTAAAGTTGATTAAAGCTTTATCACACAAACAACACATGCACACACATTCTCCTTAAAGCTCTGCACTCTAACGTCGAACCCATTCGACAGAGGTGTCACTTCCCATGCATCTAATGTCGAACCCATTCGACAGGCGAATAGCATAACGACCCCCCAAAATAAAAATCGCCATATCAGGCAGGGGTAAGAAGTGTGAAAATATTACATTAAGTAATACGTTACCACTGTTATACCGAGGCTGTTGTCTCCCACAACTGCTGCTATAGCGAAATCTACCACAGAGATCTCAATTACCTCATGCAGCACGTGCGTAGCCACCTAGCTGCCATGTGACACCCTTCACTCTTGTCTCCTTCGTCTGCTTAGCAAGACGTGTTTTCTCCTGCTGAAGCGTTCCTTGAAGATTTGGTGATATTTATTATAGTTTATTATCTAATAAACTGTGCTTTTATGGGGCGTTGCGGTAGCTACGCTTGGTTATAATTTTCCCGCCAAACGGAAAATTTTTCCCGCCCTTTTTTCTATATACTTGCGGGGTTCGCGTATGCACGTTGTGTTTTACGTTTCCCCTGTTCTTGTATGTTTTGGGGGTTAACATAACTTATTTCTTTAATAAAAGTTATATGTGTATGTTATATGTTCACATTGCTCGTTTATTTTCTTGTGAAAATGTTCGTTTGTGAATCATTGTGGTGCGTGCGTTGTAACCATGTTTTGTTCTTTGTTTATAGCAAACAATCAATGTCTGACATGGATATGTCCCCAGTATCCACCCCCTCTACCCCTGCTCCTCGGAGTTATGGGGTGTGCAGAAAGTTTTTGTCGTCCCGGGATCCCCACGTTCGTTGCCCGCGGTGCAGGGTTCCTTGCGGGGACACCCGGTGCATCCTGTGCGAAGGCCTGGGGCCTGCGGATTTTGAGCGGTACCGGCTGTACGTACAGTCCGTCTCCACCCCTGTGGTGGCCGGTTCGTCCGGTCGGGGTCCCCGTGCGGGTACCACCTCCTCGGCTGCGGCGGATCCCCTTGCGGCCCTCGGGCTGTCTGGGGATTCCGTCGCCGCATTGTTGTCGAAACTTGTGGATTCCATGCTGGCGGCCTTATCGCAAGATAGGCCGCTGGCTGTTCCGTCCCCGGCCTCTTCGGTGGCCGCGGGGTCGGACGCGGGGTCCACCGGTAAAGCGGCGGATCTCTTGGCGGCCCGTGTGCTGTCCGGGGATTCCGTCGCTGCATTACTTGCATAACTTGTGGACTCCAAGCTGGCGGCCTTATCTCAGGATAGGCCGCTGGCTGTTCCGTCCCCGGCCACTTCGGTGGCCGCGGGGTCGGACGCGGGGTCCACCGGTACGGCGGCGGCTCCCGTGGTCACCGGTCCTTCCCCCGAACCGTTGCTCCCGCTATCGGTTTAGGACCGCGTGGCCATGGTTTATGACCTCTTTGAGGACATGCCCCGGCCGGTACCGCGGGGAATCCACGACTGTGGGTTCCTCCGAGGTATACGATGAGTCTTCCGACTCGGCTTTCCCCGCATCAACCTTGCTGCGCGGTTTCAAGCCTTCCTTGGAGAACGCCTTCGCGGCGGCCTCCGGTCGGGGTCTCCCGTTGCCTCCGACGTCGTGGAGAAAGGGTTTATTCCCGGTACATGACCTTGCCTTTCCCGAGGCTGGTCCTACCGCGGAGGCCCATGTTGAGCGGTTGGGTGTCCGTGCCCCACCGGCTGCTACGGTAACGCAAGCTACCTTGCACCAGCTGGACGCCCTCGCTCGGCACTCCATGTCTCACGGAGACACTTACTTGGCTGCAGCGGCCCGTCTGGTCGAAGGTTCTCCCACGGACCGTGACCAGCGCATTTACCACTGCCTGCTCAGTTTAAATGCTTGCCTGGAGTACGTTGCCGAGGACTCTCGGCACACACTTGCTCTTGTTGGGTCCCTGCATAGGCGCCTGGGTGCCGCTCCTAACCGGAGCGCGCCCCAGGCTGCTGCGGCCGGTAGGTCTAAGGGGTCGGGTTCTTCTTCCTCTGGGAAGTAGCCCCGCCCTGAGGGCTCCGGTATGGGCAATCAGCTGCCCTTTCGCGGGAAAACGGGGAACTGGGGGAAGCCCAAGTCGTCGACGGACGGCAAGGGCCCCTCCAGGTGACTCTCATTGGAGGGGTTCGTATGCCGACAGCGCCAACTTCGGTTGGCCCTTAGGCGAACCCGAGTCACTTGGCCCTGGACAGTTGCGCCTGTCGCAACCTGTCAGGGCCCCCTCTCCTTCCCCAGTGGGAGCCAGACTCCAGACTTACTGGGAGAATTGGGAACAAGTGTTCGACGACCCGTGGGTGGTCAACACGATTCGGTACGGCTATCGGCTTGATCTCAAAGCGAATCCGCCGCTCACCGTTGCCCCGTTGGCAGGTTTCGATTCGGAAACCGATCTTCCCATCCTCGCCGATGCCATCGGCAGGTTGGTGGAGAAGGGGCAGTACGGGAGTTAGCTCTACCAGAAATAACACCGGGGTTTTACTCCAGGATATTTCTCGTTCCCAAGTAGGACAGTGCCGAACTCAGAATGATTCACACGTCCGCTCCCTGGCTGTTCACCCGGTTAACCACCCCCATAGTGGGGTTCCTCCACAGGAGGGGTGTCCGGTACTTCGCGTACCTGGACGACTCGCTAGTAGCAAATCGAATGACGGACACCCTGTCACGCCATCTCGATTTCGCACGTCGGCTCTTGGAGCAATTTGGGTGGATTATCAATCTCCCCAAGAGCGAGTTAACCCCTTCTCAGAACTTGCTGTTCATCGGAGGTCGGTTCAACACGGTGTCCCATCGCCTCTTTGTCCCCCCAGACCGGTGGCACAAAATTCAGGCGATGATTGCCAAAGTCTTAGCGGTGCAACAGACTGTTCACTTTTGGGAACAGCTGTTAGGGCTACTTGTATCAGCCCAGGACTGCACCGCACGGGGTCGTCTCCAACTCCGCCCGCTGCAACGGTTTTTAATCCAGTTGTTAGCAACGGAGGTGAACAGTGCGACCGTCGCCCTCCCGGATCGGCTCCGACCGCATCTGGAGTGGTGGACGGTCCCTTACATTGTCTTATCAGGAGTCTCTATGCGGCCCTACCGGGCCACGTTGACCCTGTATACAGACGCCTCTCTAGTGGGCTGGGGCGCCCATCTAAAGGGGGAGGTGAGCTCGGGGCTGTGGTGCTTAGACGAACTAGGTCTTCACATCACTTGTCTCGAGTTCAAGGCAGTGATCAACGCAGTCAATCACTGGAAGCATCGTCTCGTCGACGCCCGGCTCATGCTGGCGACCGACAACACGACGGTAGTGTCCTATGTGAACAAACTGGGGGGAACCCACAGTCACTCGCTACTCGATCTCACGTTCGAGTTTTACGCTCTGGTGGACAGTGTCCCGTGCCAGATACGCGCCCGTCACATCCCAGGTGTGCGGAACGTACTGGCCGATGCTCTATCGAGGCCTCAGGATCCAAGCCCCACAGAGTGGATGCTGAACCCAGTAGTGTTTCAGTGGCTGTGCGAACGTTTGGGTCGTCCGATGGTCGACCTGTTCGCAATGCGGTTCAACAATCAACTCCCGTTGTTTGTATCACCAGTCCCGGTCCCGAGGGCCATCGATCACGATGCTCTTGCGTTAGACTGGACGGGCTTGGTCGCTTATGCTTACCCGCCGACAGCGTTGATACCACACATTCTAAGCCGGCTCCGAGGAGTTCGCTGTCGAATGTTACTGATCGCGCCCATGTGGCCGAACAGATCGTGGTACCCCGACTTGCTGACCCAGGTCACGCAGTCGCCACTTCCACTGCCTGTGAGACCGGATCTCTTGATCCACCCTCACACCCGTCAGCTTCATCCAAACGCAGGGCAGTTCAATCTGCACGCGTGGATGTTGTCACCGAGCGTCTGAGGAGTAAAGTTTTTTCTCGCCGGGCGTCTCGGGCATACGTTAGTATGCATCGTGATTCTACCCAGAAGGTGTATAATGCACGTTGGGTTATTTTCACGAAGTGGTGTTGTAAACATCACATTCATTCGCCAGATAAGGTATCTGTGCAGGATATTGCTCGTTTCATGTCTCACTTGCGAGAGACCCGGAAACTCTCCGGGGGTTCCATTGCCAACTATGTCTCGTCCGTTGCTACGGTTCGGGACGTTGCTATGGGTACCAGTCTCTCCAAAGAGCCGGTGATACGGGGTATTATCAAGGGTTTCAAACAGCACGATCTTAAGAAGGGCCGCCTTCGGGCACCGGCCTGGGATCTTTCCCTAGTGTTGCAATCACTTACGGAAGCTCCGTATGAACCCTTGCATAGTGCTTCGTTCCGGCATGTGACTTGGAAAACAGCATTTCTCCTCTCCTTTGCCACGGCGGCACGTGTATCCGAAATTCATGCACTTGATGTCGCCAAGGTACGATTCGATAGGGGTGACGAAGGAGCGGTCCGCCTGGGCCTGCTCATGGGCTTCGTCGCCAAGAATCAGAGAGTCGGGCAAACGGAGAGAGAATTCACTGTAAGATCACTCAAAGAAATCTTACATCCTGCTGATACTGAGGACAGAGCGCTGTGTCCGGTTAGGGCCCTTAAGTATTATCTTAAGGCTTCGAATGAACGTAGACAAGGGCGTGACCGTCTGTTCATATCGTGTAACCCTAATCGCACGGTTGACATACCTCGCAACTCGATTGCGTTGTGGCTTCGTTCTGTCATCAATCTGGCGTACCGGTCTCGGGGGTTACCGGTAGCGGGGTCAAACCCGCACGTGATCAGGGCGCTAGCGGCAACATTTGCCCTACACTCGAATATCTCTGTTCGCAGAATATTACGAGGTTGTTACTGGCGTTCTGACTCGGTTTTTGCCAATCATTACCTCAAACAGGTCGCTGATGCCGTCGTGGAGAGTGTGCACCGTCTTGGCCCGCGGATCGCGGCGCAAGCGGGCACCTAAGGGGTGTGCCCAGCGCAATTCCGAACTCCTCAGGCGTCTGACCTTGCACGGTGGTCAATCTGGGTCTACTCCAATGTTCCCACTGCCGTGGGTACAGGAGTTGGGGTCCCGCAAACCAGCGCACTCACACCACAGGTGAGGGCGGCTTTTTGTGTGCTTTGTCCTTATTTGTATTTTGACAATTATGTCTTTAATTGTCTGTCGTGTATCCCAACCTTGTGATGCATGCTTACAAATACTGGAATTAGGTCACGCGCCTAATGCATACTTTAAGTAGGCTTGCTCTGGGATATACGGTCTGAATGAAATTAATTTCCCTCTTTTCGACTGTTTAACCTGATCTAAGATTAAGCTCACGCGGATACAGTGTTCTCATCCGCTGCGGCGATGAAATACCTATCCAGTGGGGCCGTTTGGAGTCACCAATCGTTTTGGCAATGACGATTGAGCCTTACGGTATGCGCTTGACAGTGCTTTGGTATTCCTATAGGGTAACGCCTAGCTAGGTGCATGCGCATCGAGTGCTTCCGCCTTGGTGTTTACTTCCGCTGGTCGGAAGGAACGCTAGCAGTCAGGATTCGGGTTGTAGGTGCTCCCCACCGCCTACTGTGGTAGTCAGCCTCGGTATAACAGTGGTAACGTATTACTTAATGTAATTTGTAGAATTTTCCTATTCGGAATATTCTATAAGTAATACGTTACCACTGGGCTGCTGCCCGCCCGTCCGTCCCCCGAGCACTTGCTCTCGCAGGAGACAAGAGTGAAGGGTGTCACATGGCAGCTAGGTGGCTACGCACGTGCTGCATGAGGTAATTGAGATCTCTGTGGTAGATTTCGCTATAGCAGCAGTTGTGGGAGACAACAGCCTCGGTATAACAGTGGTAATGTATTACTTATAGAATATTCCGAATAGGAAAATTCTACAAAATTCAGCAGGCTAAAGGTTAAAGTCGTGTTGTGTACATTGTTGTAGATTCACAGGGTATCTCTCATCGCGAGAACAGAGATTGAGTTTGGGATGTACTTCCAAGGCGACAGCAACATTCTGATTACAATTCTCATGGTAAGATTACTAGTTTCATTATTATCTGTCCTGTGAATACAAAAGAAGTGTGTGGATAAAACAAAAGTTCATATAATCAGTTTATGACAATAACATCTATGTGGATGTCAGAAGTAATTTTGACCCTGCTATATAAACTATGTATGATTTGTAAAAATGTGATCATAGCATTTCAGGACCAGTTTTTGTCTGTCCACAGCCTATAGTACACTGCGGTTTGCTGTACGTCTTGCTGAGGGTGCTGGATGTACGAAGCACAGGTGGCAATAGCAAAGAGGCTTTGAACTGTCAGGGAACCTCCAAAGTCAATGACATCCCCGAGGACAACCAAGATGTCATCGGCGATGAAGATGAAGACGTCGCAGAGGAGAGAAACAGAGTTAATTCCCTTCAAACAGCAGCTCAGGTAGGATTAATCAGTTGTTTGTGCAGAACAGGTAGGAATAATCAGTTGTTTGTGCAGCTTAGGTAGGAATAATCAGTTGTTTGTGCAGAACAGGTAGGAATAATCAGTTGTTTGTTCAGCTCAGGTAAGAATAATCAGTTTGTGCAGCTTAGGTAGAAATAATCAGTTTGTGCAGCTTAGGTAGGAATAATCAGTTGTTTGCGCAGAACAGGTAGGAATAATCAGTTGTTTGCGCAGAACAGGTAGGAATAATCAGTTTGTTCAGCTTAGGTAGAAATAATCAGTTGTTTGTGCAGCTTAGGTAGGAATAATCAGTTATCTGTGGAGCTCGGGTAGGAATAATCAGTTGTTTGTGTAGATCAAGGTGGAATAATCAGTTGTTTAAGCAGCTCAGGTAGAAATAATCATTTTTTTGTGCAACTCAGTTAGGAACAATCAGTTATTTGTGCAGAACAGTTAGGGCTCAGATACATGACTGAAGAGACACTTCAGACACAGGTACATGACAGGAGACACTTCAAACACAGGTACTTGACTGTGGAGACACTTCAGACACAGGTACATGACTGGAGACACTGCAGACACAGGTACTTGACTGGAGACACACCAGACACAGGTACATGACTGTTGAGACACTTCAGACACAGGTACATGACTGTAGAGACACTTCAGACATAGGTACATGACTGGAGACACCCCAGACACACGTACATGACTGTAGAGACACTTCAGACACAGGTACATGACTGGAGACACTCCAGACACAGGTACATGACTGTAGAGACACACCAGACACAGGTACATGACTGTGGAGACACTTCAGACACAGGTTCATGACTGGAGACATTTCAGACACAGGTACATGACTGTAGAGACACTTCAGACACAGGTACATGACTGTAGAGACACACCAGACACAGGCACAGGTCTGTGAAGACACAGGTAGGACACAGGCACATGTCTGTGAAGACACTTCAGACACAGGTACATGACTGTGGAGACACAGGTAGGACACAGGCACATGTCTGTGAAGACACTTCAGACACAGGGACGTGACTGTAGAGACACTTCAGACACAGGCACATGTCTGTGAAGACATTTCAGACACAGGTTCATGACTGGAGACACTTCAAACACAGGTACATGACTGGAGACACTCCAGACACAGGTACATGACTGGAGACACTTCAGACACAGGTACATGACTGGAGACACTTCAGACACAGGTACATGACTGGAGACACCTCAGACACAGGTACATGATTGTAGAGACACTTCAGACACAGGTACATGTCTGTGGAGACACTTCAGACACAGGTACATGACTGGAGACACTCCAGACACAGGAACATGACTGGAGACACCTCAGACACAGGTACATGACTGTGGAGACACTTCAGACACTGGAACATGACTGGAGACACTCAAGACACAGGTACATGTCTGTGAAGACACTTCAGACACACGTACATGACTGGAGACACTTCAGACACAGGCACATGTCTGTGAAGACACTTCGGACACATGTACTTGACTGGAGACACTCCAGACACAGGTACATGGCTGTGGAGACACTTCAGACACAGGTACATGACTGGAGACACTCCAGACACAGGTACATGACTGTGGAGACACTTCAGACAAAGGTACATCACTGTGGAGACACAGGGTGGACACAGGTACATGATTGTAGAGACACTTCAGACACAGGTACATGACTGGAGACACTTCAGACACAGGTACATGACTGGAGACACTTCAGACACAGGCACATGTCTGTGGAGACACTTCGGACACAGGAACATGACTGGAGACACTTCAGACACAGGTACATGACTGTGGAGACACTCCAGACACAGGTACATGACTGTGGAGACACTCCAGACACAGGTACATGACTGTTGAGACACTTCAGACACAGGTACATGACTGGAGACACTTCAGACACAGGTACATGACTGGAGACACTCCAGACACAGGTACATGACTGGAGACACTCCAGACACAGGTACATGTCTGTGAAGACACTTCAGACACAGGTACATGACTGTGGAGACACTTCAGACACAGGTACTTGACTGGAGACACTTCAGACACAGGTACATGACTGTGGAGACACTTCAGACACAGGTACATCACTGTGGAGACACAGGGTGGACACAGGTACATGATTGTAGAGACACTTCAGACACAGGTACATGACTGGAGACACTTCAGACACAGGGTGGACACAGGTACATGATTGTAGAGACACTTCAGACACAGGTACATGGCTGGAGACACTTCGGACACAGGGTGGACACAGGGTGGACACAGGTACATGACTGCTGAGTGCTGCGTAAAACAGCAGTAATGCCCCTTACCTGAACACAGACACTAGACAGGAACAGGGGTCTTACTTAGGAGATAAACGTTTTATTTATGTGTGTGACTGAATTTTCAGTGCCCAGAAATTTCATGTGTTAAAATCTCTGTGCATCGAATACTCAATAACCATATATTCATATGCATCAAATAGTGCAAAAGCTTTCAGGATCCATTACATTAATAATGATTTGTGTTGGAGAACACACTCCCATTCCCTTTCCAGTGCATGATCTCTGTACCCTCTTTCAGGATGCTCCTGTAGCCTATGTTCAGAACATCAGGAAAGAATTTGCAAAGGACATCAAAGCATTCTGTAAGAAAACTAAGCAAAAAACCAACGTTGCTGTGAGGAATGCAACATTTGCCGTGGACTGTGGGGAAGTGTTCGGACTTCTGGGACCTAACGGTGCTGGCAAGACCACAGCTCTCAACATGATCATTGCTGAGACTGGGCCAACTAGGGGAAAGGTACTGTACTGTTGTAGCCTTTTAAAAAATGATGGCTTCATGATCTTAGTTCCAGATCTTAGTTCTCACTACCGCTAAACAAAGATTATCCCATTACAGGGACCGCACAATGAAATGACGAACAAGAAGTCAACATTAGCCAATCAGAAACAGCTTCCTCGAGGTTTCTCGAGGACTACCCTTAATTTGTAACACTTTTGTAACATACAAAAAAATAAGAATGTCTTTAAATGCCTTTTCAACTTTTCCAATATCAAGCTGACATGCTGTGTTGTGACTGGAAGTTAAAGCACCACTTAAACCAACTCACTTACTTTTATTGTCACAAGAAAAGACTGACTATATGGGATTTTGTTGGTTGCTTATTATTATACCCTTACAATGTTTGTTGGTGATCTTAATATCAATCACTGGTTTGTCTGGTCCTGACTCAATTATTTAGCTGGAATATTGCTGACTGCTGTGTAAACAACAAACAAAACAAAACAAAAGCATGGTATTTAGATGAAATCCATACTTCAGGTTATGTCAGTAGTTTTTGGTACAAGTAAATAAAAACATCATATGGTCTTCCAGATTAGAACTTGTCCTCAGTCAACTATTATCATCTGAGGCGATTGAATCCAGTGATCACACTCAGTGACTTGTTGATTGAGTGTCATCGTAATTGAATAACATCAATCGCTGGTTTGTCTGGTCCAGATTGGATTATTTACTTGAGTGAGTGAGTGAGTGATTAGGGCTTTACATCATTTTTAGCAATATTCCAGCAATATCACAGTAGGTGACACCAGAAATGGGCTTCACACATTGTACCCATCTGGGGAATCAAACCCGGGCCTTCGGCATGATGAGCAAACACTTTAACCACTAGGCTACCCGACTGCCCTTATTTACTGGACTATTGCCGGTGTATTGCACAAAATGCAACAACACACAACCACATTGACATGATTTGTTTCAATTGTAGGTTATTGTAGCTGGACACGACATACGGTCAAGTATGTCATCTGCTTTCCAAGCCATGGGCTATTGCGCCCAGCATGATGCATTATGGGAGAAGATCACTCTACGTGAGCACATTGAATTCTATGGCTTGCTCCGTGGCCTCTCAAAGAAAGACAGTGTAACCATGGCAGATGGGTATGTATATTCATCTTAAATGTGGCTACAAAAAACACATCCATCCATAAAGTAAGTTTGAATGATGATAAATTGGTGTTGTAACTTTTCAGGGTGGTGACACTAAGGATCACCAGTGTGTGGCATTAAACAACAATCAAACAAAACAAACCCATCATAACAAAACTAATTGTTTTAGAATTATGCGGTGTTTTTATTTTCAGCATGATCGCATCTCTGAAGGTTGAAGAACATGCTAAGAAAGGAGCCAAGAAGCTGTCTGGAGGAACAAAAAGGAAGGTGTGTTGGGGGTGTAGGACAAGAGTACAAGTGAAGATGTGGTGGGTGGGAGGACATAGGAAGGTGTGTTGGGGGTGTAGGACAAGAGTACAAGTGAAGATGTGGTGGGTGGAAGGTGTGGGTGGAAGGTGTGTTGGGGGTGTAGGACAAGAGTATAAGTGAAGGTGTGGTGGGTGGGAGGACATAGGAAGGTGTGTTGGGGGTGTAGGACAAGAGTACAAGTGAAGATGTGGTGGGTGGAAGGTGTGGGTGGAAGGTGTGTTGGGGGTGTAGGACAAGAGTACAAGTGAAGATGTGGTGGGTGGAAGGTGTGGGTGGAAGGTGTGTTGGGGGTGTAGGACAAGAGTACAAGTGAAGATGTGGTGGGTGGGAGGACATAGGAAGGTGTGTTGGGGGTGTAGGACAAGAGTACAAGTGAAGGTGTGGTGGGTGGAAGGTGTGGGTGGAAGGTGTGTTGGGGGTGTAGGACAAGAGTACAAGTGAAGGTGTGGTGGGTGGGAGGACATAGGAAGGTGTGTTGGGGGTGTAGGACAAGAGTACAAGTGAAGATGTGGTGGGTGGAAGGTGTGGGTGGAAGGTGTGTTGGGTGTGTAGGACAAGAGTACAAGTGAAGGTGTGGTGGGTGGGAGGACATAGGAAGGTGTGTTGGGGGTGTAGGACAAGAGTACAAGTGAAGATGTGGTGGGTGGGAGGACATAGGAAGGTGTGTTGGGGGTGTAGGACAAGAGTACAAGTGAAGATGTGGTGGGTGGAAGGTGTGTTGGGGGTGTAGGACAAGAGTACAAGTGAAGATGTGGTGGGTGGGAGGACATAGGAAGGTGTGTTGGGGGTGTAGGACAAGAGTACAAGTGAAGATGTGGTGGGTGGGAGGACATAGGAAGGTGTGTTGGGGGTGTAGGACAAGAGTACAAGTGAAGATGTGGTGGGTGGGAGGACATAGGAAGGTGTGTTGGGGGTGTAGGACAAGAGTACAAGTGAAGATGTGGTGGGTGGAAGGTGTGTTGGGGGTGTAGGACAAGAGTACAAGTGAAGATGTGGTGGGTGGGAGGACATAGGAAGGTGTGTTGGGGGTGTAGGACAAGAGTACAAGTGAAGATGTGGTGGGTGGAAGGTGTGTTGGGGGTGTAGGACAAGAGTACAAGTGAAGATGTGGTGGGTGGGAGGACATAGGAAGGTGTGTTGGGGGTGTAGGACAAGAGTACAAGTGAAGATGTGGTGGGTGGAAGGTGTGGGTGGAAGGTGTGTTGGGGGTGTAGGACAAGAGTACAAGTGAAGGTGTGGTGGGTGGGAGGACATAGGAAGGTGTGTTGGGGGTGTAGGACAAGCGTACAAGGGAAGATGTGGTGGGTTGGAGGACATAGGAAGGTGTGTTGGGGGTGTAGGACAAGAGTACAAGTGAAGGTGTGGTGGGTGGAAGGTGTGGGTGGAAGGTGTTTTGATGGTGGGGTACTAGGGAGGACGAAGGAAGGTGTGTTGATGGTGGGGTACTAGGGAGGACGAAGGAAGGTGTTTTGATGGTAGGGTACTAGGGAGGACGAAGGAAGGTGTGTTGATGGTGGGGTACTAGGGAGGACGAAGGAAGGTGTGTTGATGGTGGGGTACTAGGGAGGACGAAGGAAGGTGTGTTGATGGTGGGGTACTAGGGAGGACGAAGGAAGGTGTGTTGATGGTGGGGTACTAGGGAGGACGAAGGAAGGTGTGTTGATGGTGGGGTACTAGGGAGGACGAAGGAAGGTGTGTTGATGGTGGGGTACTAGGGAAGACGAAGGAAGGTGTGTTGATGGTGGGGTACTAGGGAGGACGAAGGAAGGTGTGTTGATGGTGGGGTACTAGGGAGGACGAAGGAAGGTGTGTTGATGGTGGGGTACTAGGGAAGACGAAGGAAGGTGTGTTGATGGTGGGGTACTAGGGAAGACGAAGGAAGGTGTGTTGATGGTGGGGTACTAGGGAAGACGAAGGAAGGTGTGTTGATGGTGGGGTACTAGGGAGGACGAAGGAAGGTGTGTTGATGGTGGGGTACTAGGGAGGACGAAGGAAGGTGTGTTGATGGTGGGGTACTAGGGAGGACGAAGGAAGGTGTGTTGATGGTGGGGTACTAGGGAAGACGAAGGAAGGTGTGTTGATGGTGGGGTACTAGGGAGGACGAAGGAAGGTGTGTTGATGGTGGGGTACTAGGGAAGACGAAGGAAGGTGTGTTGATGGTGGGGTACTAGGGAGGACGAAGGAAGGTGTGTTGATGGTGGGGTACTAGGGAAGACGAAGGAAGGTGTGTTGATGGTGGGGTACTAGGGAGGACGAAGGAAGGTGTGTTGATGGTGGGGTACTAGGGAAGACGAAGGAAGGTGTGTTGATGGTGGGGTACTAGGGAAGGAGAAGGAAGGTGTGTTGATGGGGGGTACTAGGGAAGACGAAGGAAGGTGTGTTGATGGGGGGTACTAGGGAAGGAGAAGGAAGGCATGTCAAGGTTGGTGTACTAGAGAGGGCAAAGGAAGATGTGTCGAGGGGGGAAGTTGACTGGAAGTGGTGGTGGAACAATTTAGAGACAAAGTGACATCTTTTAAAGACAAAGCAGTTTCGATATTCACTATGACCATGAAACCAACATGTTATCTTCATATGCATTTCTTTTTGTTCTGCCATGGTTACAGCTGAGCTACGCTATCAGCATGCTGGGCAGTCCAGAGATTGTGCTGCTTGATGAACCTTCCACCGGGATGGACCCTCAGTCCAAGAGATTCCTCTGGTCAGTTGTTGCTCTTCATCATACCAGTACATTCAGTGGTCTAGTGGTAGAGCATCCGCCCGGAGAGCGGAAGGACCGGGTCTCAAACCCAGTCATACCAAAAGACGTTAAGGATGGTACTTGTTGTTACCGTGCCTGGGGCTCAGCATAAAGGGGCTAAAACAAGGCCTGGTTGGCTCAGAGTCAGTATACTGTGTCTGAGTGGGGTATTCATGTCAAAACTGCGGCATGGTATCTCAGTGGGCTAGCACTATAAAATCAGCATTTATCCGGACTAGTACTACCTGTGACACACACACACAGGTCCGCACACACATCGCTGTATTAGTGCAATAATCGTAACGTTAAACCCCATTTCACCTCATCACATTCAGTGACGCTTTCGTTAACACTCTCTGGACATAAGAACAAGCCTTTATTTGGAGCTGCTCTCAGGTTCAAGTGTAGCCCCAAATGTGCAGCAAGTATCAGTAAAATATCAGAAATCTGACATTTGTGGAAATATTTTGCTGATTACAGGACCAATGAAGAGAAAGAGGTTTTAAAGCTTAGCGTTATGTTATTGCATTGACTGTTGGCATTGCATTTGCCTGCTACGGAAGAAGGAGATTTTTTTATGTAAGTGTCACATATTGCATACAATGATAGAACACATTAAGACACTGTATTGCAATATCTGACCATTATTGTTTGTTTATTTGTTGTTTAACATCACACTCAGCAATACTCTAGATATATACAGTACTCTGTAAATAATCATGCCTGGACCAGACAATCCAGTGATTGACATCATGAGTTGGGATAAGGTCAACAAGACACATGTGATCATATGTACACAATATTAATTACATGTTTAAACATATATTTGAAAAATACATTTACAAATACAGCATTTGGTTTGGAGTCCGGGATAAATGCAGAAGAATCAAGTTCTGGGATCATGCAAGCATCTGCCTTTCACTCAGATATTGTGTAACCATATGAGTCTGTGTTTTCAGGGATACAATCAGTGGGAGTTTCGAGGGCACCAAGCGAGGCGCCATCCTCACCACCCACTACATGGAAGAGGCAGATGCCCTCTGCTCCAGAGTCGCCATCATGGTCAATGGAAAGATTGAGTGAGTAATTTGTCACACGTTCAAGTCATTCCCTTTGCCAAACAACATATTGCTGTTTCAACATTATGTGTTCAGATATGCGGTTATTTTTTTAATTTACCCTAAAATTTCATTTTAAATGGACAGCTTTAACCAGAGCTTTTCAGATGATAAAATTTCCAGGCATGAAATACTCAAAAAACCTTCTCATCTGACACATATGTTTGTTGACGTTGTAAAATACAAATGTTATCGGTCATTTTCTGAAGCACTCTCTCTCTCAACGTGAATGCTATGACGTCACCCTGGAATGCTATGACGTCACGGTGCAATGCTCACTGTCTCAAGGTGTCTCACCATTAATGTTTCGCTATCTCCAAGTACCTCACTCTCATGTCTCACTATCTCCAGGTGTCTCCCTTTCATGTATCACTATCTCCAAGTGTCTCACTCTCATTCTCTAACTTGTGGTACAGAGGTCTCATTCTCATGTCTCACTATTTACAGATGTCTCACTATCTCCAAGTGTCTCACTCTCATGGTCACTATCTACAGATGTCTCATTCTCTCACTATCTACAGGTGCTGACTATCTGCAGATGTCTCACTCATGTCTCACTATCTACAGATGTCTCACTCTCATGTCTCACTATCTGCAGTTTCACTATCTACAGATGTCTCACTCTCATTCTCTCACTATCTACAGATGTCTCACTCTCACGTCTCACTATCTGCAGTTGTTTCACTATTTACACATGTCTCACTCTCATTCTCTCACTATCTACAGATGTCTCACTTTCACGTCTCACTATCTGCAGGTGTCTGGGGCCTACACAGCACCTGAAGGACAAGTACGGCAGCGGCTACCTCCTGGAGGTGAAACTGAAGACAGGGGGACGTGGAGAAGACATTGAGGCTAGGATGGACAGTTTGGAGAGCCATGTTGTAGCTCTGTTTCCACAGGCCTCCTGTATGGAGAGATTCGAGGAACGAGGACAGTACAAGATACCCAGGGATAATGTCAAATCCTTATCAGAAACTTTCTCATCTCTTGAACAAAGTGAGTCTTTATATCAAATGTGTTGACATAAGAGGGTTCTACATATTTGTCCTTGCCAAACTGACCAATAGTTCAGGTATCATAAGAACCATTAGAAATTTGCCATTATTAAGGGTTTTGCTATATATATGTTATCGTTATAAGGACTAGTGGACTAAAACAGTTAGTTTCTAACGCTGCTATATATGAATATATATATACAAGGGCTGGCTGAAAAGTTCTGAGCCTAACTGTGAAAGACCTGTACCAAGTGGATGGTTTTCATTTATTTCTCCACAAAGTTCCCTTCTAGGTTTACACACTTTTTCCAGCGATGTCTTATGTCTATGATTCATTAAATGATTGTACTTGTTGTTGGCAAAAGTTTGTTTCAATCCGATTGAGATATCCCGCTGAGGCTTAGAACATTTCAGCCAGTCTCGTATAGACTGATAATTGAATATCTGCCATGTAATTTGCCAATTATTGATAGTTAACCCTTCTTCTTTCCTCAGCTAAACAAACCCATGATGTAGAGGAGTACAGTTTCAGTCAGTCCACTCTGGAACAGGTAAGTACAGGAGTGAGTGAGTGAGTGATAATGTTGGGTTTTACGCCGTTTGTAAAAATATTCCCGCAATATCACTGTGGGGTCACCAGAACCGGACTTCATACATTGTACCCATGTGGAGAATGAAACAGGGGACTTCCACATGATGAGCAAACGCTTTAACCACTAGGCTACCACAGCGCCCCAGTAAGTAGAGTAGGACTCCAGCTTGTCAATGAAGCAAGATTATCTTCCCTTCAGTCATCCACGGGAGCACTGCTGGCCCAGTCCTCTTAGGTGCAGCAATTCGCTGTGCAGAGTTGCATCCCTTGGGTTTGAATTCTGGTTCGCCCCGATTATGTTGCTAGGTTTGTCAGCACCATACCGCTCATGGGTTTCATCAAAGGTTAAACATTTGACACCTGCATGACTTTACAGAGTGTTTTGTAAAAGATGGGACAGAGAGAAAAAGGATAAAAATGTTTCAGATTGATCTATTAGACACCATATCCAGTTGAGTTAATTTTGGTTTATCCTTTGTGAGGCCAGGGATAAGAGAAGTTTTTAAACAGGCACAATGAGCAAGGTTTTAAATGATTAAATATCAAAGTCTACAAACGTGTGCATTTCTTCATTTAGGATGCTGTTGGGATGTCCCCATGACCTTATCCTTGTCTTAAGATTCGCTCCGATTATGTTTCTAGATTTGTCAGCACCATACCCGTGCTCGTGGGTTTCACCAAAGTGGTAAACGTCTGAGACCTGCATCACTTTGTGCTTTCCTCCCACATTAAGCTGACACGCCGCAATATAACTGGAATACTGTTAAAAGCGGCGTTAAACCCAACTCACTCACTTGTCTTAAGAGTCGACCAAATATTGGGACAGGCATGTCTCTGTGCATGATTGCAGGTCATTGTACCCTGATAGTGTGGATCATTGCTTAAAATTTCATCACTTTTTTGCCTGGCCCTGACAGATGATTTGTGAGTGACTACTATACATGCTATAAGCAGCATAAAGATTTACTCACAATAGTGGGAATTCCAGGGTAGAACTGGTTCCCAGCAAGCTATACTGGTTGTAAGAGGTGACTTAATAGCTCAGGCAGTCTGGTTCACTTGGTCGATAGCATTGTTTGTTTGTTGTTTAACGCCGCACTCAGCAATATTCCAGCTATATGACGGCAGTCTGTAAATAATCGAGTCTGGACCAGACACTCCAGTGATTGACATCATGAGCATCGATCCATGCAATTGGGATAGGATGACATGCATCAACCAAGTCAGCAAGCCTGACCACCCGATCCTTTCAGTAACCTCTCACGACAAGCAAAGTCGCCTTTTAAGGCAAGCATGGGTTACTGAAGACCTATTCTACACCGAATCTTCACAGGTGGTTGATAGTATGATATTGTTCCCCAATGACGTAAATTGTTGTTCTTGATCACTCCATTGTCGGATCCAGAATTGATCATTTACAGCCTGCCCTATTCCTGGAATATTGCTGAGTGCAGCATTAAACAAGAAGAACTACAATGGCTTGAATGTTGCAGGTGTTCCTGGACTTTGCCAAGAAGCAGCATGAAGAAGGAGAAGAGGACAATGTGCCGAAATCTCTGATGAGGCAGCTGTCTGATGGGGGAGGAGACAGGGGCAGCGACAGCCGCGGCAGAGGCAACATCAGTGTGCGCATGTGAATCAAGACCAATGGAGTTCGATAACATCTTAGCTTTGTGGTGCACTTTGTAGTGCAGAAGACTCAGCAAGCATTTTAAAGCCTTTGTCGTGGTCTACTTGTACCATGCAATCATGAACTATCTGTTGCCAGAGAAGTACATGCAACATGACGGAGGTCATATTCAGCTGGCCTCACAGTGACAAGTCAGTAATACTGATAACTTTATACATGCATTGTACATTGTATATGTATATAAGGCAATGTGATTTTCTGGGAGGAGTCCAATTCAAGCCTAGAATTCTCAAAGCCTGAAATTAAGCATTGTTCTGGGCTCCATTTGAATTTTACTTTTATTTTGTGGATTTAAATTTTTAAATGAGATAACTTTATTTCTGGGACTTAATTTTAGTCTAAGTCACATTTTAAGAAAGTATTACATTCCAGGATATCTTGATAAATATCAGGATATCAGTTGATTACGTTTCACTGTATACTGTTTGACAGCAATGATATGTTTAACAAGAGATAAACACTTTATACTTGACATCATTTTGAAACATGTATCTAATCACCGTATCAACATATTCAGTGTATACCTTCGTTTACTAATTTGCGTTCAACTACTGGGCATATGTAACTATATACTAATAACAGCATTATGGTAGGTGTAGTTTCCATGGTTACGTACATGTATATATTGGAGTGAGTGAGTGAGTTAATATTTAAAGTCACATCAGCATTGTTTCAGCCATATCGTGACTTGAGCAAGTTATGCATTTATATAATATCTTAAGACCTGTCGTCGAAGGACAGTATAACAACTAGCAAAATATCACAGATTCTAATTGTAAAACTAGTTTTAGAACAATAAAATAATATTGGAAAGCACATTAGACAATCAACAGGATTCCAGGATCAACAGGATTAAATTCTTGCCAAAATATCAGGAGGTAAATTGTGATTGAATTGACAATTTGAAACTGAAAAAATCTTGATCTGATTAGTTTAAACTTTAACCTTGGACCACACACTTGAAGAGCATTATTAAGTCAAGTAAATATGAAGTCATAAAAATCAAATTCTCTTCTTACTAATTTACTTGTAGATCCATGTTCATCTTACTAACGTATTAATGAGTGAGTGAGCATGTTTTTAAGCCGCCTTTAGCAATATTCCAGCAATATCACGGCAGGGGACACCAGAAATGGGCTTCACACATTGTACCCATGTCGGGAATCAAAACCAGGTCTTCAGGGTGACGAGCGAACACTTTAACCACCAGGCTACCCAACCGCCCACCCAGAGTATTAAATAGTCTGTACTTAAGTTTCTGTATCCATTTCTGCAAATTAATATTTCGAATACGTTTTTGGAGTTCGAGATTTTGTATCCATCAGTGGAACTTATACCAAGATGATGTTGGATCAAGACCAGGTCCAGTCAAGTTTGTTTCGTGATAAACCATTACTGGAATAGTCATTCGTGATACTTCAACAATGTAACCTAAAAACATTAAAAGCCATAAAATCATAACCAGCCAGCAGCCATGAGAAAAGTATGTTCATGTGTGATCCTTCCCCAGGGTTAGAAGTGAAAGGGTCCCTTGAGGTTTGCTCAGCAGTACCTAGGGACCTCGGGACCTCTAGATATTTAACATTGGGATTATGTCCGCTTGGCATCCATGCATATTTTTTAACACTGATCCATGTATACTGATTAATGTCATGATGTAATTCCATATTAAGGTTATACATCTGTTTTTTGTGCACTTCCTGCCATCATTGCCACTTGCCAGTTGTGACCAGTTGTATCCCATCTGCCACACTTGTAACTGTAGCTTCCTTCAATCAGCAGCTCAAGAGTCCTGTGATAAATGAGAAGATGTGATGTTAAATGAAACCCAGTTAGTTAGTCTGATGCCACCAGTACTTACACTACTACTGGACAGAATATCTGGGACCAATCCGAAAGTCTCTTTCATTCAGCCATTAGACAGGCTATCTCTGACCAATCAGAAGGTCTCTTTCATTCTGCCATAAGACAGAGTATCTCTGACCAATCAGAAGGTCTCTTTCAGTCAGCCATTTGACAGACTATGTCTAACCAATCCGAAACTCTGTTGTAATATGTCCTTTCTCAGTCAACCATTAGACTTAGCATTACACCACTGCCACAAACAAATTTGCATACCGTATTCGACGTAATAAGCGCCCCGCTCTAATAAGCGCCCACGTCGAGATTTGCATATATATTGGCAAGTGAACAATCCCAATTAGCACTCCTTCCGACCCCTATTCGCATATAATACGCAGCGCTTCCTTTCCCTATTCGCGTATAATACGCACTCGTGTGTTATATGCACACTTTATTATTGGCAATTAAATTTTGGAAAAAAATGTATTTGTCGTACATAAACATTTCAGGCTGTCAGCATAAACCACGAAATTTATCTTTTCAACTCCAAAATAATATTCTAATAAGAGCCCCCTATTTCTAATTTTGAGAGCGCCCTGGGCGCTTAATACGTCGAATACGGTATCAGGACTGCGCATTCTGAAACCGCAGCAGCCAAACCTGGTGCAAGTGTTTCAATGCAATTTACATATTGTTCTGAATAATATTTAAGATGTGCTAATGCACCAGCAACAGTAGTGGTATGACATATCTGTACACATCAAAATGACTGTGTTGCTATCTATCTGCAGGGCTTCAAATCTGCTTCAAATCTGCACCTAGAACCATACCACCATTGTAAACATAGTTTTTAGGATATTTTATCGAAGAAAGTGAACAATTTCATGCCATATGCTTGTCTGAATGTGTAGAGTTTTAAGGACTGTAATAGATGAAAAACCTATGTAATTTGTTGAATCGAATAAGTAAGATATGACGAATTTGTTTGATTTTGTTTTAATATTGGGTCAGGAGAATGAGTAAAAATATGAATTCTCTGTTATCCATTTTTCATTTTTGTGAAATGTTACAGGAATGTCAATTCTTTTTTGTCCGTTTCTTTTAAACTTTATACTTTTAAAGTTGCCATGGAACAAAGTTACTCACTATTTAGAGTACCAGTGGAGACATCACTTCATAATTGTAACCTGTTTATAATTGCCGACCACATACATATCCACTATACAGACATATACTATTTGAAATGATCTCATGTTTACCAGTAGTTTATAACAGTAAAGACAGGATATGTTATGGATGACGACTTCTATATTCTATTGCAATAGTTTATAAGCTGTTGTTTACTGAATTTAACACACTGACATGTTAAAATGTGAGTTTGAGGTTTTTTAGTGTGCTTGTTTCAAGTATTGAGATACAATTATTGTTTTTTATATGTGTTTGCGTACTTAACATTAAGCAGGTATATTTGGTGTTTGTTTTTAATACTGTGGTGTATGTCAACAGATATGCTTTAATATCACCTTGGATATAGAGTGTGAAACAGGTATTTTACCTGACACTTATTAACCGAAATATTTGGGTCAGAGTTTTACTGTAAACTTGTCCCAGTCAAAATGGCATATATTTTGTCTATCATTTACATATATTTCAGCCTATGAAAGTATTGGGTCTTCTTTTGGGCAACGAAACTAAACTTTCACATATTGTGCATTAAATTTTTTTTTTTTCTGAGAAAATCAGATGAAGATAACAATAAAATGAAATAAATTGTATTGGCTTACACTCATGTGGTACAGCACGTAATATATTGACAACTAGAATACCAATATATATTTTACCACATTTATTGTATAATTTTTTATTTTTTTTATATATGTTTCCCTTAATTGTTCCCCCTAAATGTCATAGGTGCCATGAGAATTGGCGGGATGTCATGGCAAGTGGTCTGAAGTCTTTCTGATCTGGATCATGTCATGTTGAGCAGCATGGTTTCATGTCATGTTGAGCAGCATGGTTTCATGTCATGTTGAGCAGCATGGTATCATGTCATGTTGAGCAGCATGGTATCATGTCATGTTGAGCAGCATGGTATCTTGTCATGTTGAGCAGCATGGTTTCATGTCATGTTGAGCAGCATGGTTTCATGTCATGTTGAGCAGCATGGTATAGCATGGTATCATGTCCTGTTGAGCAGCATGGTATCATGTCCTGTTGAGCAGCATGGTATCATGTCCTGTTGAGCAGCATGGTTTCATGTCATGTTGAGCAGCATGGTTTCATGTCATGTTGAGCAGCAAGGTATAGCATGGTATCAAGTCATGTTGAGCAGCATGGTATCACGTCCTGTTGAGCAGCATGGTTTCATGTCATGTTGAGCAGCATGGTTTCATGTCATGTTGAGCAGCATGGCATAGCATGGTATCAAGTCATGTTGAGCAGCATAGTATCATGTCCTGTTGAGCAGCATGGTTTCATGTCATGTTGAGCAGCATGGTTTCATGTCATGTTGAGCAGCATGGTATCATGTCATGTTGAGCAGCATAGTTTCATGTCATGTTGAGCAGCATGGTATCATGTCATGTTGAGCAGCATGGTTTCATGTCATGTTGAGCAGCATGGTTTCATGTCATGTTGAGCAGCATGGTTTCATGTCATGTTGAGCAGCATGGTTTCATGCTGAGCTTCATACTGCCATGGCCACAAGCTTGATGTATTACAACCACCTTCCTGTCATGACAAGTCCTTCCAGCCCAGACATCTGTAACTGCCAGTAATGAATTTGATATAGATGTGTTTCTTGCAGTTCGTTTTCAATTTCTTTCTTTTTTCAACCAAACAATTCCAAAATTTTATATTACTTATTATATTTTTACAGCCTAGATATGTCATCCTTATAGGCCAGTGTGTTTATCTTCTGATAGCTAGTAATACCCAAGCTATGATATTCAATGTTGTTTGTGTAGAATGTTATCTGGATAAGCTTATGTTCTTATCAAATACCAAAATACACAAGGCATAATATAAAAATACAAAATTGTTAGGATTTAATTATGTTTATTTACAATAAATATTAATTTTAAATATAAAATATTTTGTCAAAAGTAAATAGAAATATGCATTTGAATTTTGAATTCTTCCTGCAAATAACTTTTATTTATTGTTTTCACTTTAGCAATACATAGTGGAGGCTGAGCTGTCAAAAATAAATTGTTTTGGCCGAAAATGAGGATTGGGGACCACTTTAAGGGGAATACCGGAAGTCTTTCTTTTGACTTTTATATATTGAGAAGAAAAGTCCTGCGGATATTTGGACAAAAATGAAATATTTTTACCAGATTGTTTTCTATAGTTGAGAATATTTGTATGTTCATCTGTCTACTGTTATTGAATGATTGTTTTTATTGTAATTTGTTACAGATTATTAAAAACTATTTACATTTTTTCATTTGTCTTGTCATAACACTTTCAGTTAGTTACAAACTAACTTTTCAGGCCTTGAATTAAGTAGTGCAAGGTTATCTGTACATTAAACCGTTCTGCATTGAGGGATCAAGTGTTAATTTTACCACTGTTAAATGAATTAATTTAAGTCTATAGATAAGGTACCTTAACATTGAAAACACAGTTTGTCCGTCTTCTTTGTACCATGACAAAAGAAAGGGCGAACTCATCAGGGCTGGGAACTCATCTGGGGCATGGATGGCCCTGTCGTATAAGGTGCCGCAATTTGTTGAGCAGAGTTGCATCCCTTTGGCACGCCAGAAACCTTGATTGTGGGTTTGAATCCCGTTTCGCCCCAACTATGTTTCTGGGTTTGTCAGCACCATACCCATGCCCGTGGTAAACGTCTGAGACCTGCATCACTTCGGGCTTTCTTCCCACATTAAGCTGACATGTCATGATATAACTGGAATATTATTCAAAGCGGCGTTAATTCCAACTCACTCACTCTTCAGGGTGAAGCGGCATTGGTTCAGTCCATTGTTGAGTTGGTTGTTTATCTGTATTAACAACTTAGTTAAGTTAAGCAAGCCTTAGAATAGGTCTTCAGCAACCAATGCTTGCCGTAAAAGGCGACTATGCTTGTCGTAAGAGGCGACTAACTGGATCGGGTGGTCAGGCCCGCTGACTTGGTTGATGCATGTCATCGTATTCCAATTTCGTGGATCATTGCTCATGATTGCCTGGTCCAGACTTGATTATTTACAGAACGCCATCATATAGCTGGAACGTTGCCGAGTGTGGAGTTAAACAGCAGTTGCACATCATCAGATGCACATGTAGAGGACCATGACCATGCTCTGCAGACATGCACCTGCATTGAGGACCCTACTTGACTCCCCATGACACAGACTCAGGGTACAGACCTGCACTCAGGGCACAGACTGGTCTCATTGACATGCACTGCACTCAGGACTCTACTTTACTCCCCATGACATGGACCTGCAGTCAGGGCAAAGACTGGACTCCCCCTGACACAGACCTGCACTCAGGGCACAGACTGGTCTCCCCATGACACAGACCTGCACTCAGGGCAAAGACTGGACTCCCCCTGACACAGACCTGCACTCAGGGCAAAGACTGGACTCCCCCTGACACAGACCTGCACTCAGGGCACAGACTGGACTCCCCCTGACACAGACCTGCACTCACGGCAAAGACTGGACTCCCCCTGACACAGACCTGCACTCAGGGCAAAGACTGAACTCCCCCTGAAACAGACCTGCACTCACGGCAAAGACTGGACTCCCAATAACACAGACCTGCACTCAGGGCATAGACTGGACTCCCAATAACACAGACCTGCACTCAGGGCATAGACTGGACTCCCCCTGACACAGACCTGCACTCAGGGCAAAGACTGGACTCCCAATAACACAGTCCTGCACTCAGGGCAAAGACTGGACTCCCAATAACACAGACCTGCACTCAGGGCAAAGACTGGACTCCCCATGACACAGACCTGCACTCAGGGCAAAGACTGGACTCCCCATGACACAGACCTGCACTCAGGGCACAGACTGGACTCCCCCTGACACAGACCTGCACTCACGGCAAAGACTGGACTCCCAATAACACAGTCCTGCACTCAGGGCAAAGACTGGACTCCCCATGACACAGACCTGCACTCAGGGCACAGACTGGACTCCCAATAACACAAACTTGAACTCAGGGCACAGACTGGACTCCCCCTGACACAGACCTGCACTCAGGGCAAAGACTGGACTCCCAATAACACAGTCCTGCACTCAGGGCAAAGACTGGACTCCAAATAACACAGACCTGCACTCAGGGCAAAGACTGGACTCCCCATGACACAGACCTGCACTCAGGGCACAGACTGGACTCTCCATGACGCAGTCTTGCACTCAGGGCAAAGACTGGACTCCCAATAACACAGACTTGAACTCAGGGCACAGACTGGACTCCCCATGACACAGACCTGCACTCAGGGCACAGATTGGACTCTCCCTGACACAGACCTGCTCTCAGGGCACAGACTGGACTCCCCATGACACAGACCTGCACTCAGGGCAAAGACTGGACTCTCAATAACACAGACCTGCACTCAGGGCAAAGACTGGACTCCCAATAACACAGACCTGCACTCAGGGCACAGACTGGACTCCCCCTGACACAGACCTGCACTCAGGGCAAAGACTGGACTCCCCATGACGCAGACCTGCACTCAGGGCACAGACTGGACTCCCAATAACACAAACTTGAACTCAGGGCACAGACTGGACTCCCCCTGACACAGACCTGCACTCAGGGCACAGACTGGACTCCCCCTGACACAGACCTGCACTCAGGGCACAGACTGGACTCCCCCTGAAACAGACCTGCACTCAGGGCAAAGACTGGACTCCCCATGACACAGACCTGCACTCAGGGCACAGACTGGACACCCCCTGACACAGACCTGCACTCAGGGCACAGACTGGACTCCCCCTGAAACAGACCTGCACTCAGGGCAAAGACTGGACTCCCCATGACACAGACCTGCACTCAGGGCACAGACTGGACTCCCCATGACACAGACCTGCACTCAGGGCAAAGACTGGACTCCCCATGACACAGACCTGCACTCAGGGCAAAGACTGGACTCCCAATAACACAGACCTGCACTCAGGGCACAGACTGGACTCCCCCTGACACAGACCTGCACTCAGGGCAAAGACTGGACTCCCAATAACACAAACTTGAACTCAGGGCACAGACTGGACTCCCCATGACACAGACCTGCACTCAGGGCACAGATTGGACTCTCCCTGACACAGACCTGCTCTCAGGGCACAGACTGGACTCCCCATGACACAGACCTGCACTCAGGGCAAAGACTGGACTCTCAATAACACAGACCTGCACTCAGGGCAAAGACTGGACTCCCAATAACACAGACCTGCACTCAGGGCACAGACTGGACTCCCCCTGACACAGACCTGCACTCAGGGCAAAGACTGGACTCCCCATGACACAGACCTGCACTCAGGGCACAGACTGGACTCCCCCTGACACAGACCTGCACTCAGGGCAAAGACTGGACTCCCCCTGAAACAGACCTGCACTCAGGGCAAAGACTGGACTCCCAATAACACAGACCTGCACTCAGGGCACAGACTGGACTCCCCCTGACACAGACCTGCACTCAGGGCAAAGACTGGACTCCCCATGATGCAGACCTGCACTCAGGGCACAGACTGGACTCCCAATAACACAAACTTGAACCCAGGGCACAGACTGGACTCCCCCTGACACAGACCTGCACTCAGGGCACAGACTGGACTCCCCCTGACACAGACCTGCACTCAGGGCACAGACTGGACTCCCCCTGAAACAGACCTGCACTCAGGGCAAAGACTGGACTCCCCATGACACAGACCTGCACTCAGGGCACAGACTGGACTCCCCCTGACATAGACCTGCACTCAGGGCACAGACTGGACTCCCCCTGACACAGACCTGCACTCAGGGCAAAGACTGGACTCCCCATGACACAGACCTGCACTCAGGGCACAGACTGGACTCCCCATGACATAGACCTGCACTCAGGGCAAAGACTGGACTCCCAATAACACAGACCTGCACTCAGGGCAAAGACTGGACTCCCAATAACACAGACCTGCACTCAGGGCACAGACTGGACTCCCCCTGACACAGACCTGCACTCAGGGCAAAGACTGGACTCCCCATGACGCAGACCTGCACTCAGGGCACAGACTGGACTCCCAATAACACAAACTTGAACTCAGGGCACAGACTGGACTCCCCCTGACACAGACCTGCACTCAGGGCACAGACTGGACTCCCCCTGAAACAGACCTGCAATCAGGGCAAAGACTGGACTCCCAATAACACAGACCTGCACTCAGGGCAAAGACTGGACTCCCCCTGACACAGACCTGCACTCAGGGCACAGACTGGACTCCCCCTGACACAGACCTGCACTCAGGGCAAAGACTGGACTCCCCCTGACACAGACCTGCACTCAGGGCACAGACTGGACTCCCAATAACACAGACCTGCACTCAAGGCATAGACTGGACTCCCATAACACAGACCTGCACTCAGGGCACAGACTGGACTCCCCCTGACACAGACCTGCACTCAGGGCACAGACTGGACTCCCCATGACACAGACCTGCACTCAGGGCACAGACTGGACTCCCCCTGACACAGACCTGCACTCAGGGCAAAGACTGGACTCCCCCTGACACAGACCTGCACTCAGGGCACAGACTGGACTCCCAATAACACAGACCTGCACTCACGGCATAGACTGGACTCCCATAACACAGACCTGCACTCAGGGCACAGACTGGACTCCCCCTGACACAGACCTGCACTCAGGGCACAGACTGGACTCCCCATGACACAGACCTGCACTCAGGGCATAGACTGGACTCCCAATAACACAGACCTGCACTCAGGGCACAGACTGGACTCCCCCTGACACAGACCTGCAGTAAGGGCATAGACTGGACTCCCAATAACACAGACCTGCACTCAGGGCATAGACTGGACTCCCAATAACACAGACCTGCACTCAGGGCACAGACTGGACTCCCCATGTGTAAAACATCTGCCTTGTATGAAAGACAATAAAGTCTCAAGGTACACAAACATCTTCAGAATGACCTTGGTATACTCTCCCCATGGCATAACTGAAATACTGATCAATGCAGCACCAAACCCAACTCACTCACTCGATCATAGCTGCCTCACTCAATGAAAAGCCAACAACATGTGGGGTTTTCTTGAACAACACAAGTTTCTGGTTTATTCCACTGATGTATAAAAGTCCAAGGTAGTGTCTACAATTACATGTGTTATTTAACAATATCACAATGGTACAGCACAATAAGTATATTGATCTGATAAACAATAAATATGCTAATCCTTAAGCTCAGTTGTAAAATAAAAAAATCTGTAAAAAACCA